AAAATCATTTTTTTCAATTATTTTATACTTTGTCAGAACTTTAATTTCAAATTTCCTAAAATTTCCTGTCTCATTGATAATCGGAAACTTATAAAGATTCGCGCATAAGTCTCGCGCATAAGTCTCGCGCATAATGTTTAGATTAATCAAGTAATCTGTAAAAGAACATTTTCAGATACGTACAGCACGTGGAAACGCATGGACTCTCAAAAATATCATCATAAATGCGCAGGAAATCTTCAAATGTTATTCCTTCTTTCTTTAAACGAAAAATCAGTGTGATGAGACATGATGAATCATGGCCGATCTACAATAGAAGAGATCGAGAGAATCAAATTGTATGTATTATTTTGTTGAGATGATCCATCTAATTAATTGTACGTATTATTTTGTTGAGATGATCCATATAATTATATATTTTCAAAATATAGGAAAAAATTCTCGATTTGAAAAAAGTTAATTCATTTAAATATGTCATCACTCATCCATTCATCCACTCATCCACTCATCCACTCATCCACTCATCCACTCATCTACTCATCCGATGAAAACGAAAATATGATACTTATTCTATTAAAAGATCTTAATTCAAGATTAATTCATGAATTAAAAAAATTTATATATTTTAATATTTTAATCATCAAGAGGGAGAAGGCAGCTGACGAGTGATAGAGGTGAGTGAAAATAGTAAATCATATCGTTGAAAATTAATGCTTATTATATTGAATTATTTGAACTATAAAGTTAAACAATTCTTGATTTAACACTAGTAATTTATTTCTCATCGGTCAATGGATTATAGTTCACATCATCCTCTTCTTGGTTGATTACAACGTTACATACTGTAAGTGGGAATAAATTTCTTAGGAATCAGGATAACTTCACCGCTACTTAAAAAAAAAAAAAAATCAATTCTATATAGTCTGTTGTTTATTCTGCGATTTTTACTGGTCTGCCGTGGCTTTTTATGTAAATTTTTGCATACTCTAGATGTGTTATACTTGTTCGTGCAAGTTCAATACTTGTTTTTACATGTTCTGGTAAGTGTTATACTCGTTTTTACATGTCCAAATAAGTGCTACACCTGTCTCTTATACACATCTAGATGTGTATAAGAGACAGGTTCTATACTGTAAGTGGGAATAAATTTCTTAGGAATCAGGATAACTTCACCGCTACTTAAAAAAAAAAAAAATTCAATTCTATATAGTCTGTTGTTTATTCTGCGATTTTTACTGGTCTGCCGTGGCTTTTTATGTAAATTTTTGCATACTCTAGATGTGTTATACTTGTTCGTGCAAGTTCAATACTTGTTTTTACATGTTCTGGTAAGTGTTATACTCGTTTTTACATGTCCAAATAAGTGCTACACATGTTCTGGTGAGTGCTGTACTTGTTTTTACATGATCTGGTCTTGTTTTTATATGTTCTAATAAGCGCTAGCTACATGCGTGCTACACTTGTTTTTACATGATCTGGTAAGTGCTTTCCTTGTTTTTATATGTTCTAATAAGCGTTACACATGTTCTGGTAATTGCTACGCATGTTCTGGAGAGTACTATACTTGTTTTTACATGATCTGGTAATTGCTGCACATAGTTCCGGTGAGTGCTACACTTGTTTTTACATGTATGATCTGGTAAGTGTTATTCTTGTTTTTATATGTTCTAATAAGCGCTACACATGTTCTGGTAATTGCTACACATGTTCTGGAAAGTGCTATACTTGTTTTACATGATCTGGTAATTGCTGCACATGTTCCGGTGAGTGCTACACATGTTTTTTACATGTATGATCTGGTAAGTGTTATTCTTGTTTTTATATGTTCTAATAAGCGCTAGCTACACAATGCGTGCTACACTTGTTTTTACATGATCTGGTATTCTAGTAAGTGCTATCCTGCATCCTTGTTTTTATAATAAGCGCTACACATGGTTGGTTGCCGTAAGTAACGATTATTGTATATCCTTTAGCGGTTATAATATTATAAACGTAAGCTGTAAATTGGCTGTAATAAATACTCCACTATTGTGGTTAGCTGGTTAACCGAAAGATAATTTTGATTTAAACCTATTATATTATTATATTTACTTGACTTTTGGACTTACAACTATTTACGGCATGCATCTAGTTACTTGTTATTTAGATCATTGTGAAATACTGAAGATGAATTCTTTTGATCAATCTCATACTAAAATATTAATTTAATCCGTAAATTATATAGATGACCTTGTGGCGTTAATCTACAGTATTACTGAAAACACCGGCCGGCATCGGAAAACACTGACCGGCATAGTTTCATGTGTCGGAATGTGACTACGCGAGTACCATATTGGTAATCAGGGTAACCCTTTATAATACTAATATAATACTAATTAATATTCTCTTCAAGATAACAAAATCTCATCATAGTCTCAAGAGTCTCAAAATTTGGTTTGTGTTAAATACTTGATTCCGACATTTCTAGGAGTAAGTAGGTTAAAGTTTTTTATTGATTAATCACTTATTAATTATTACAATTAATAATTGGATCATTATATCGTTTTTTTAACAAGTTATTATGCTCCAATGTTCATGCCATCTCCCTATAGAACTCTTTTACACGTTTGTGTTTTTATTTTGGAAAATTATTTCTTTAGTCTTATCCATTAAAAGGTAATTTAGATATTTATGGACCAAAATTTTGGTTGATGAAATAATGTTACACAGCATATTAATGCCAATCACAACATATTCATGCTAATCGGATTTTTCTTTCAAGCTGTGGGAATCTTTTAATTCTAATATAATATATATATATATATTATTAGAGAATCTGTATTGTGTAACTAAATCTCATTTGGTACTAATAATTTTCTTTTTTTTTTACGGCTAGTAACTGACGATCTATCTACATGAACACAAAATTTGCGGTATTTCATCTTTTTATCACATTGATATCTTGTTGGATATTTTCGGAAAAAAGTAAATGATTCTTAAATGTATGATTCTATTTCTATGCAGCAATTATGGAATTAAAACATCATAATGCGCAAAATCTGTCCAACATGAAATTATCAGGTAACTTTTTAGTTATAATTCAATTTAACACAAGGGTATAAAATATTAATAATTTAAAAATTCAATTAATAGGTGAGGGAAATTCTGAGAACTTTGCACAATAATTTGGTTGCAGCAAGAACACTCGTTTGTTTAATGTAGGAAAAACCCTTTATTGGAGTACACATATGGGTTGCATTCACATAATTCCTATTAGTCATCCATTGATCCACCATTCAAAATTAAATTTCAAATTGGTTACGTAATCTTTCAACGTGATTTTGTAAAATCTACAAGACAAATGGAAACAATTTTGGAACAAAGTTCTACAAATAATCATGATTTACGTTTAGACACTTTAATGAATCCCGTTATAGTGTCACTATATCCTACCGGCTTATCCTATAAATATTTGTTACCAATTTGCCATCTTTCCTAATGCTATTATTATCTATTGAATTGTTTGAGACAAAATTGACCGCACTCATCAATTCATCTTAGGTAAGCTTACTTTAAAACTTATGTTATACATTTATTTTACACAATAACCTAATTAGATTTCAGAAAAATCTCCAATACTTTCATAAATATAAAAAAGGGTATATCATATATCACAAAGAATTCTTTTAATTATTTCTTCTGTAAAAAATAATCAGGAGGTTCTAATTTTTCTGTATCATGAACTTTTTCTGCAGGATGACATAATTGACGAATTGCAAGGTAAAGAAAACAGCTTTTGTACAACAGAAAAGAATGGTATGATGTTGACCTCCTGCCGGTAAGCATCATATGTCAAGCATGGGCGTTCCAGCCGTTCCAAGATTAATTTTTAGCTTTTAATTACAAATTAATAGTATCACTAGTCCCAACACGTGTGGTTTCCTTTTGTATTTGTATCAATTAGAGAATTTGTTACATTTAATTTGTCATTTACACGTAAACCTTTATTGTGATTCATATTGAGAGGTAATTTTAGTTCACAATCTTTTTTTATTAAAAAGTATTAATTTATCAAAAAAAAGATTTATTTTTAGCATTTATTGTCAACTCCGAATTTATTAACCTCAATATTTTCCGGTTCTGCGCCACAATGTCTGTTTATACCACAAAGAAAAGCGCAAATGATTATGAATTTTTCATTTTTTTTTTAAAAAAAGAAAATACCTTTTATTCGTTCTATTTCTTGTGTTAAATTGATAGTTAATTGAAGTAACTTTATCATAATTTTTTTAAAAAGAAAGAAAGAAACGGTAATGAATCCGTTATCCCATAATTTTTTTCAAATTGAATTATTCATTTTTGTTAGACAATAATTAACTTAATATAACTTTGTTTTAATTCTAAAGCAAGATTTTATTATCGACGTAGCAATAATTATCATTTATGTTACGTCTTCGCGCTTGCTGAGAGAAACCACATGCTGGGCACTTTGGTGAATTGAAATATAATAATGATACCAGAGAATCAGCTAGTGAACATTTTAATTTAAAAATTGTACGTATACTATGTCTTTACTAAAAAATTTTTATTTTCTTTTTCAAATTCAATTTTAAAAAAAAATTTATTTTAATTAAAAGAAATATTCATATACACAAAATATTATTACATTTTTTAATAAATCACAACGATTATACGTATTATTTATTTTTTAATTTTTAATTTATTATTTTATTATGTAATTTTTTCTAATGAAATATTATAATTAAATATTATAATTCATATTGCAATATTTTAATGTTGTATCATATATTTCGCATATAGTTTTTCAATTTTTTTTTATTTTGCAAATATTTACGGTATAAAAAATGATAATACTAAGTAAACTTTTTCCGTCCATTTTCAGGGGTGCTGGTTTTCATGAAAACATATACTATGATGTTGAAGCACCAGTGGTAAAGTCGTTTTTTAATATCAATCTTCCTTCTAAACGGAGATTGACAAATGAAAAATCGACATGTATTATATATTGATATGCGACAGATCATTAGTAAGTCGTTCATTTTTGTTTTCACTTTTTCTTTCTTTCTTTCTTTTTTTTTTAAAAAAAAAGGGGTTTTATACACTTTAATAATAATGCCAGAATATATTATTAATAAAGAAGCTTATTTAAAAATTATCCTTCATGCTTGTAAATATCCAAGTAGTACTGTAAATGGTGTTCTTTTAGCACAAGAAGAAGTCGGTAATGATGATTCAAATAAAATAATTATCGCTGACGCTATACCATTATTTCATCATTGGAATACTCTAACCCCAATGTTGGAAGTTGGTTTACAACAGGTAAAAAAAAAAATAAAATTAAAATAATCTTTTTATTTATTTTTTTTTTTTATAGGATTCAACTCAATTTCTTTTCGAAATTGATTTAGATCGAAATTTATGCTGAACGAAATAAATTGAATATAATTGGATATTATCATGCTAATGAAAGAGTAGATGATAATAAATTACCACCATTTGGACAGAAAATTGCATCAAAAATATTAGAAAATTTTAATATTAATGCAATTTCTCTTTTGGTATAAAAAACATTTTTTTTTTTATTATTTTTGGTTACTTTTTAAAAACTTTTAAATTAATTAATGAATTAATGAAAATTTTCAAATATTTTAAATATTTTAAAGGTTCAAAATTCAAAATTATCACCAGAAAATCCAGAAATCGCAATTATGGTAATTATATACATTTGTTTTTATATTTATTTATTTATTTATTTATTATTTATAAATAATAAAAACTCTTCTAACTTTTCATTTCACACTTTTATATCTAGCCTTATATTTTTAAGGAAAATCAATGGCGTCCTGATACTAAAGCATTTTCATCTAATTTTGCTTTGGATAATAATGATTTACCTAAATTAGTTTCATCATCAATTTGTAAAAAACATTTTGAATATTTATACGATTTTGATGAACATCTTGAAAATATAGAATTAGATTGGTTGAATAATATTAAAGTAGTAGAATTAGCATTTGAACAAAATTCAAAAACTAAATAAAAAAAAAAAAAAACATTAAGTAGTAACATAACTTGTATCAAATTAATCAAATTATTACTTACCACATAACTTGAATAAATATATCGCACGCGATTTTCTTTCACTTTTCATTCCATTGATGTTGACATTCGTGATTACAACATTTATAAAATATTGACATAGGTTCATCTGCTGAACGTGTTTGAATTTGCATGAAATACGCTCGTGGATGTTCACATTTTGGACAGGTTACTATTAAAAAAAAAATATTTAAGAATACTTTTAGGGGCGAGGAATTATATGTAAAAAAAACCTTACCTTCGGTTGAATCAACATTTTTCCATCCTTCTTCACCACCAAGAACATCATCAACTTCCTTTCGTTTTAAAGTTGTTCGATTCTTATACTAGAAAAAAAAAGAGTAAAGTATTCTTAATATAAAAAATTTCAAGTAAACCAAATTGTGTTATAGTTTATTACATTACCTCTTTACTACCTATTGGAAATACGTAAGGGCAAGTTTGACAAAAAAATGATTGTTCACCTTGTGTGTGATGTTGGATTAATAATAGATTTCCACAGCAAGGACAAAATAACATTATTATTTAAACAAAACGAAAGGAACAGAGAATAGAAACAGGTATACGGAATGAGCTGTCAAGCGTATATGCAGTATACTCACTCATGTGATAGATGTCAGGATGATCTACATTCTATAATTTTTGATTGTTGATCAAATGATTAAATTTTTTTTTTTTTATCGGAATTCCAACTTCCAACGCTTTTTTTCTATTATAAAATGTCTTCTAAATTTAATACGTTAGAACGAGAAAAATTATTTCTTAATCCAAGTTCAAATAAATTTGGTTACCCAGAATTACAAAAATTAGTTAAACCTCATATTGATTCATTTAATTCTTTATTAGACCCTCCTCGTCAAGGATTGCTAAATTTTGCTATTGATGATATTGGTACACAGGAAATTTTTGACAAACCTAATAATAGTCCCGAAAGAGGGAATAAATTGTCAAGTAAATTTCCCTTTTTTTTAAAAAAAAAATATAAAAAATTTATCATGATAACATAATTTTTTTTCATATTTAAAAAGTATGGATAGATGATGTTATAATTGCAAAACCACTTTTACCCGAAAGTGTTCGTCTTACAACGTCAAGACAAATTTATCCTTCAGAGGTAATAAAGATATTTTAATGTAAAAAATAGAAAATCAATTATTAATTAGAATTAATAAAATAATTTATTTTTTTTAAATAAGTGTCGAGAAAGATTAACCACATATGCAGGAAAGATGTCTATAAAAGTATGTTGGCAAGTAAATGATGGTCCTGTTCTTGCGGAATATAGACCCGTGGGTATGTTACCTATCATGGTTAAAGTAATGTATTATATCACTTATCTGTTATTTCATTCATTAAAATTTTTAAATTTCGTTAGACTTATGTTATTTTTAATTAGTCAAATAGATGTAATCTACAAAATCTTTATCCAAAACAACTTATACAACACAAGGAAGAGTCAGAAGAAACGGGTGGTTATTTTATTATAAATGGAATAGAAAAGATGATTCGTCTTTTATTAATACCGAGACGTCATCACGTGATGGCACTTGCTCGTTCTTCTTTCGCGAACCGTGGAGCAAATTATACAGAATATGGAGTACAAATTCGTTGTGCAAAACTTGATCAAACAACTGTTACGAATACTATGCATTATTTAAAAGATGGTAATTGCTTAATAAGATTTACTTGGAAAAAACAAGAATTTATGGTTCCTGTTTTATTAATCATGAAGGTAAGCATTTTAACTTAAAAGAGAAAGAGCGAAATTTTTTTGTTAATTATTCTTATTTTTGATAGTCTCTTATTGAAGTTACCGATAAAGGAATATATGATATGTTGGTTCAGGGAGAACATTTAAATACATTCTTATCAGATCGCGTAGAATTTATGCTTTACAATTTTAAATCATACAATGTTCAATCACGTGATCAATGCGCAACTTTATTGGGTGATAAATTTCGTGTCACATTCTCACCACCATCGTATTATACTAATAAACAAGTAGGAGATTACGTTTTGAATAAGGTCATTCTAGTTCATCTTAGGACGAACAAAGATAAGTTTAATCTCTTAACGTAAGTAGGTACTTTTACAGCTTAAATATATGTTTATATATAACATTTATTCATTTATTTATTTAGATCATTACTAATAATTATTATTTATTAAAAGGTTTATGATACGTAAACTTTATTCATTAGTCGCAGGAGAATGTTGTCAAGATAATCCTGATTCACCACAGAATCAGGAAATACTTTTAGGAGGTCATCTTTATGGGATGATTATAAAAGAAAAACTTTCTGATTATCTTAATTCCATACGAGCGGCCGTATCTATGGATGTTAATGCAAAAAAAAAAGTGGATTTTAATGATAGTACGTGTAATAAGCGTTAATCTATAATTTAAATGATTGATAGGTTTTATTCGAATAGAAATTTTTTGTTTTGAATCAAAATTTTAAAATCATCAAATCATCATAAGATTATCCTTATTATTCTTTTAGAAAAATATATGAATAGTCTTCTCACAAAAAACAATACTGAATTTGTGGGACAAAAATTAGCTTACTTTCTTGCTACGGGAAATCTTATTTCTAATACTGGATTGGATTTAATGCAGGTCTTTTATTATATTGAATTTGTATGGTTTATTATCTCAATGTGTTTTTAATACGTGAATTTGTTTTTTTTTTATAGACAACTGGATATACAATTATTGCAGAAAAAATCAATTTTTTCCGATTCATTTCACATTTTCGATGTGTACATCGTGGATCATTCTTTACTACATTGAAAACTACTACTGTTAGAAAATTATTGCCCGAAGCATGGGGTAAATAAATCAATCATAATTTTTTTATTATTTATTATATCTCATTATATTATCGTTTATTAGGATTCCTTTGTCCAGTTCATACACCAGACGGAACACCTTGTGGATTACTTAATCATCTTTCACATACATGTAGAGTAATTACCGAAACAGTAAAGGTCAATAAGATTCCAGAGATGTTAGCAGAACTAGGAGTTTCCATTAATGTTTTACAACAAGCACTTTCCGAAGGTCCGCCATTATGTGTGCAGTTAGACGGAAAAATAATTGGATATTGCACTAATAGACAAGCAAAGATAATAGCGAATGAATTGAGGAGACGAAAATTTGACAAGACCAAACCAGTAAGTTTTCATTATTTTGTGTAGGATTACTAGGATTACTCTTTTTTTTTTTTTATTAATTTTTATAATTGATTCGTAGATTCCTTTAGATCTGGAAATTGGTTATGTCCCACCTTCAAATGGGGGTCAATATCCTGGAATTTATTTATTTTCCACTCCATCGCGTATGATGCGTCCTGTTAAATATCTTTTCAATAATAAAACCGATATGATTGGTTCTTTTGAACAGGTAGATTATTTTAGTTTAGATAATTAATTAACGTCATGTATAATAATTTTTTTTTTTTTAAAAAAAAAAAAGGTATATATGGACATTGCTTGTCTGAATGAAGATATTATAAAAGGTGTGACAACTCATCAAGAATTTGCTCCGACAAATGTACTGAGTATCCTTGCAAATCTTACACCATTCTCTGATTGCAATCAAAGTCCTCGTAATATGTATCAATGTCAGGTAATTAAATAAAACTAGCATAAAAAAAATTAGAGTTTTCACCTTTATTAATAATTTTTATATATACAAAGATGGCAAAACAAACAATGGGTACACCATCAACATCTTTAAGATATCGAACAGATAACAAATTATATCGATTACAAACAGGCCAATCACCAATTGTTCGATCTGGACTTTACAATACCCTTGGTTTTGATGGATTCGTTAGTGGCACAAATGCAATCGTGGCTGTAATCTCTTATACAGGTAAATATATATATATTTTTTTATGTAAGTCATTAATATTTATAAGTTTCTATGCAAAAAATTGATTTTATTTGAACAAATAAGGATATGATATGGAAGATGCTATGATCATAAATAAGTCAGCACATGAACGAGGGTTTGCATATGGTACTATTTACAAATCAGAGATAGTTGATCTTAATGATGAACGAGAGCGTGGTGAACCTATTAAACACCATTTTAGTCTTGGAGAGGATGCATCCCCAGCATGGCGTGAAAAACTTAGTAATGATGGCTTACCTCTAATTGGAGTTAAACTAACAAATGGAGACCCTTTGTGTGCTTATTATGATGATACAACTAAAGTCACGAAAATTAAAAAATATAAAGGGACAGAAGATGCATATGTTGAGGAAGTTCGATTAATTGGAGATGATGCGGGTAAAGAAGAAGTTCAAAAGGTTCATATTAAATTAAGGGTTCCAAGACCTTCGGTTATTGGTGATAAGTTTGCTTCTAGGCACGGGCAAAAAGGTGTTCTTTCACAATTATACCCTCAGGTAGACATGCCTTTTACTGAAAGTGGAATGCAACCAGATATTATTATCAACCCACACGCGTTCCCTTCCCGTATGACAATTGGTATGTTTGTTGAAAGTTTAGCAGGAAAATCTGGTGCATTATATGGTGTTGCACAAGATTGTACTCCGTTTAAATTTAACGAAAACGATACAGCGGTTGACTATTTTGGTAAACAGCTTGTACGTGCTGGATATAATTATCATGGTAATGAACCCATGTATAGTGGAATTACTGGTGAAGAATTTCAAGCTGATATATATATTGGAGTTGTATATTATCAACGATTACGACATATGGTGTCCGATAAATGGCAAGTGAGATCTACCGGTCCTGTTCATAATCTTACAATGCAACCTATTGGTGGACGTAAAAAATCCGGTGGTATTAGATTTGGAGAAATGGAACGTGATTCTTTATTGGCTCATGGAATGAGCTTTTGTCTTCAAGATCGTTTAATGAATTGCTCAGATTATTCTCAAGTAAGAAATATATAAATCAAAATTATTATTTTTTTTTTCTGATAAATTTTGGTTTGACCTTATTTTTTTTTTTTGTTATTTATAGTGTCATTTATGTTCAAAATGCGGTACTATATTTACAGCATTAATATCTAAAGAACACGAAACGAGAAATGATGTTAAATATAAGAAACACCACATGATATGTAAAATTTGTGATACTTCAAAATATATATCACTTATAAAAATTCCTTTTGCTTTTAGATATCTTGCAACTGAACTTGCAAGTATGGGTATTAAGATTACATTAGAATCGAAGTATTAAAAATAATATTTATTAATTTAAATTATAAAACCACTAATAATAATAATTTACCAGAATAACGATCACGTGATTTTTTGCGTTCGTTAAAACCCAGAATTCCAACGTGTTTTGTAATATTTTCATACAAAAAGTCATTGTATGTGAATTCTTAAATAACACTAATTTTTTTTTTTTTAAAAAAAATATATTAAAAGAATTGTACATAGAAATATAATTTATGAAATTAATTTATTGTTGCTGCGGATTATCTTAAAAAAAATTGTGATACAATGTGATACTTAAGAAATATATAAAAAAAAAAAAATCTTTATCCAAAAAAAAAACGCGAAAAAAAATGCGGAATTCAAAAAAAAAAATATTACGTGTTTCTAAGAAAAGATCACCAGAAATAAAGAAAAATGATGAAAATACTAGTGACGAAGATATTATTGCTAATTTAAAAATTGATATGCTTTCGGAAGACGAAAATATTAGTGACCTTGAATCACAGTCCATAAAAAGTATTGATAAAGAAGAAAGCGATTCTATTGAACAACATTCGGAAAATGAAAAATTTGTACTTGATGATACAACGGACAATGAAGAAGAGAATGAAAAATTTAATAAAGAAACATCAGAAATGAGTGAAAGTGATGAATATATTGCTGGTGATAGTCTAGACGAAAATGATTTAGAACCGGATGAAGATAATAAAACTTTATCAGAATCAGAGTACCTTTTTTTTTTTTTTTTTATTTTTTGTAATTTTATCTTAAATTATTTAAGAATTTAATTGAAATAATATTAACATTCCAGTTATATTTAGGGAAACCAAAACTCATTATGTCGTTGGTGTAAATGGTAAACCACGTAAAATATTACCTGAAATTGATCCAGTATATGATAGTGATTCTTCAACTGAAAATGTAATGTAAAAAATTTTATTATAATCATATATCTTTGAAATTAGTTAAAAATAGATTTTTTTTTTAAAATAAAATACTTCAATTTTTTTTGAATCAGCCAATTAATTCCGTTGGTAATATACCTATGGAATGGTATGATGATTACCCACACATTGGATATGATATTGATGGGAAAAAAATTATGAAACCTGCTAAAGGTGATGAATTGGACAAATTTTTGGAAAATATGGAAGATCCTGATTCATGGTAATATATACATATTTATATATAGATATTTGTTATAGTAGAATTAAATTAATGTAAAGATTAACATTTTTGATATGATCGTTCATTTTTAGGATGTCTGCCAAAGATAATCTCTTACAACAGAATGTGAAATTAACTGATGAGGAATTGGAAATTATTCGCCGAATTCAAATGGGTTCATTCCCTGAAAAAGATTTTGATCCTTATGAACCAACAATAGAATGGTTCACTGGTAAACCTGAAGTTATGCCGTTAAATGCCACACCTGAACCTAAACGTCGGTTCATTCCTTCGAAATGGGAAGCAAAACGTGTAAGTCATAATTCTGATTTTGATTGGGTTAATTATTATCGGATAACTTACTAAAAAAAATTCTTTGTATATCGATTGATTTATGAAGATTATGAAAATAGTACGTGCTATTCGTCAAGGACGTATTGTTCTTGGAAAATCTCAGGTGCAAAAGCCACGGTTTTATAATTTATGGAGTGAAGACGATAAGTCCCGTGAAGAACATCCTATGCATATACCTGCTCCAAAAATGAAGTTACCTGATCATGATGAAAGCTACAACCCACCTGCAGAATATTTATTAACAGATAAAGAAAAAGAAGAATGGGAGGAGATGGATCCTGATGATAGAGAAAAAAATTATATACCTCAAAAGTAATCATTAATTTTATTATGTTTTTATATTTTAATTATGTTAAATTTTATCTCCTATTTTACAGATATTCATGCCTGAGAAATGTACCTGCATATAATCGGTTCATTCAGGAGCGATTTAATAGGTGCCTTGATTTGTACCTTGCCCCACGTATTCGAAAAAATAAGGTAAATTAATTGTTAACACATAAACATAAGTGATATAATGTTCTTTTTTATTAATCTGTTTTATCATTTTTTTCATAATTAGCTTAATATTGACCCGGAATCACTTATTCCCAAACTTCCAAACCCTAAAGACCTACAACCTTTCCCTACATCCCTTACACTTTCATATGATGGACACACTGATCGTGTACGTTGCATTTCAATCGATCCTACGGGATTATGGTTAATTTCTGGTTCGGATGATAAAACAATAAGATTATGGGAAATTATAACTGGACGCTGTGTTAAAACATGGGAAATTGAGGATATTGTTTATTCAGTTGCTTGGTGTCCAATTCGGGAAGTTTGTGCATTTATATTTTCTTGGTAAGTTTCATGAATATTACTCACAAATATAATTATACCGCTTGATTAAATCAATTCTAATTTTCTCACATCAGTTCAAATAAAGTTGGTGTAATATTACCAACAGATATTTGTGACGATGAAGTTGCACTTTCAACTTCTCAATACGTTACAAATGGATTTAATAGTAAACGGAATGGTAACTTTATAGATAATGACTTTAAGAATTCATAATAAACTTTTATACTCATTTTTCAGTCTATTAAAATTTATAGATGAAAAGGTCAAATTGGTCGAGTGGATGAAACCATCTGACGAACAGAATAAGAATGGGATACTTTTATTCATTCAACACACTCATGATAAGGTCATTTTAGTAATTTTTGTGTTCTAAATAAATATAAAAATATTAAATTTTTTTTACTTACCTTAGACAATTAAGCAAGTCACTTGGCATAGGAAAGGGGATTACTTCTCAAGTATTGCACCAGATGGTAAATAATATTTGTGCATAAATTTTTTTTTTTTTTAAAAAAAGAAATAAGATTCTCATTTAATATATTTTGTTTAATAGCTGGTAATCAAGGGATTCTAATTCATCAGCTTACAAAACATCAAACTCAACAACCTTTCCGTAAAACTAGAGGAATTATTCAATGTGTAAGGTTCCATCCTATTAAGCCATTATTCTTTGTTGCGGTAAATATTATAGTTTTTTTTTACATTATATGATGATAATGGTTTGGATTTGTTCAAATAATGATTTCTTTACGCTTTTTTTTTTAAAAAAAAATTTGTTTTATAGACACAGAGATATGTTAGAGTTTATAATCTAATGAAACAAGAACTGACAAAAACTTTACAACCAGGAGTTAAATGGATTTCTAGTTTGGACGTTCATCCGATGGGCAAGTGTTACAAACTAGATTTATAAAGCATTTTTGAGAGTCCATCTTTAATATTATAATTTATTTTGCCGTTTATAGGGGATAATGTCATAGTTGGAAGTTATGATAAGAAATTATGTTGGTTTGATCTGGATCTATCCCAGAGGCCTTACAGGACTTTATAGTAATTTTCGTTTAATGAAATAGATATATATGAGAGGATTCTAATGAGCTGTGTTTCATCCTTGGTATAATACATATTATATTAAATTTTTTTTTTCCTAAAAAATTCTAGTTATCATTCAAAAGCTATTCGAAACGTGGTATACCATAAACGACTACCATTATTTGCATCATGTAGTGATGATGGATCAATACAAATTTTTCATGGTATGGTTTATAATGATCTGCTTCAAAATCCGTTAATTGTTCCAGTGAAGATTTTAAAAGCTGGCCATCAAATTGTGGATAGTTTAGGTAACTATTAACTATTTCTTATTAGTAAATTAAATAAAAAAAAAAGGATTCTTTGAATTACCTAATTTTTTTTTCTCTATAGGTGTTTTGAATTGCGAATTTCATCCAATTCAACCTTGGATAATATCTTCGGGTGCGGATCATACAATAAAATTATGGACGTAAGAAAAATTAAGTCAAAATATTAGTTTAATTACAAATGATCATCTATTTTTGTATATTTAATGAATGTTATGTAATAGATCGATAGAATTCTTGTAGATCATTTAATGATGATCCTCATAAGAAAAAAAAATAAATTTATCGAAAATATTAATTATTATTTATTTATATTTGTAATTAACTAATTATCAGCCTAAATCTATTTGATTATAAAATGAATAATTAATTACATAATTAATAATTATCTCTAAAATTGCACACGGTGAATACGACTAATAAACTAAATAATACAATATACAAGTTTTTTTTTGTTATTTTTGTTTTTTTTTTGGATTTATTATGTTTCCATAATTTAACTTCCACCATTAATAGCATTCCAACCACCATCCCAAATTTCAACCCCATTGATAGTAGTGCCATTACTAATTATGGAACTCTTACTACTACCACCTGATATCATTGGATCAATAGATTTTAATTCTTCTTTAATGGTATTTCGAGACAATGAATCAATTTCTTTAGCTACTAGAGCTATTATTTTCTGAAAGTAAAATAAAAATTTTTCATTAAAAATATATTATACAAGTAAAATATCACACAAATTTTCTAAAAAGAAGAATTGAAATTAGAACCTTGAACTTTCCATCAACTTTTATTACACTTTCTGTAAATGATGCTGTCAGTACATTTGCAGTTCCTACCAACAATTTATTATAAACATCTACAAGAATATCACAGAGAGTATAAAAAGTTTGAAAATAATCCAAATCAAAAGGCTATTTCGTAAAAAAAAAAAAAATATATATATATATTAGTTACAATATAAATTAATGAAAAATTATTTAATAAAATAAATTTACATACTACGTTTGGCACAAATAAATATGTATATTCTCCAGTTTCTTGAAATGATGAATCTTCGTCTTTAACAATTTTTGACTTTCTAAAAAACATTTTCTAATTTTAAAGTAAAAAAAAAAAAATTAAGGAATGAACAAAAAATATTTATAAAAATGTAATAATTATTAAATCTAATTTCTTTTAATTTTTTACCATTTTTTGTTTTGCATGTTCATTTGTATGATATTCAAATTCCTGTAGCATTACATTTAAAGCTTTTACATAATCCTGAGGATTTGTTATATCAAGTATTGGAGCTAATGATGCACCTAGAATAAAAAAATTTCCTGTCCTTAATTATAATAATAAAAAAAAATATATATATACAATTAATTCCCAAAGTAAGAATTAAATTAATTAATTAAAAATTAAATCTACTTAAATTTGTAAATACCTTTTCTTCATCCTAACATTCTCATATACCATCCCCAAATCTTCTTTACTTAAACATACAGTGTTAAACCAATGTATTCTTCCTTCATGAGCCTGTTTTAAATAGGTAAAAGTAGTTATTCGTTTTTGTACAAGTTCATATAAAAAATCGTAAGCACCCGCTGTTAATGTGTTGGTGCTACTATATTCAGTAGGTACAGTAGAACTGGAAGGTGATCGTGGAGCTGGCTGTGGAAAGGAGACAGGTAAAGTCGTTGTTGAGCCACCACTTCCATTATTATTATTTACTGCATTGTTCGTTGAATTTGAAGTTGGAGAAGTTATTGATTTATCCATTACAAAAAGAATAAATTACAAATACTCCAAAGAGTTCTGCAGGGACTTTTTTTATAGTATTGCAGTGTCCCCATAAATTTGCTGATGTTTTTTTTCAATTATAATAAATAATTATAATAAATAAAGCTTTATGCATAAAACGTTTTGTTAGGCAAATCAATTGAAAATCGGTTACAAAATAATTAGTTACATAAGCAAATTTTTTTACATTTGATTTTTTTTTTTTTTGTAAATCACATTTGGCCATAATGTACAGTTTATATTGCTAATCACCTGATTAAATTTTTTTAATATGAAAAATATTTATGTACTTTTTTTAAGGTAGTTTTATACCATTTTCTAATAACAGATCCGTAAAAAATTTTTCCAAAGTCTCGGCTGATTTATAATAATAAGTCTCTTTTGTGTTATAATATTTACAATTGTCCCATATTTTTTGAACATCAATAGCAAACTCTTTAAGAGTTAGATATCGATTGTTCTCCATACGTTTCCTGACGGTAGAAAAATCCATGGGATCCTTGATAATATCATAATAATCTGGTACAGTAATAGGATCGACAGGGAGTCTAAATGGCCAAGCACTTCTATGATTTTCTAAATCCTCCATGATTTTGAGCATAAGAAGATAATCGGCCCGATATTTAACCGATTCCTTTGCCCTTTTTTCTAATTCCAATGTCCAACCGGATTCCTTAATACCTGGCACAGACATAGGATCTATTGATTTAACTCCATTTTTGAAACGTTGTAAACCCGGATGAATGATGGGAGGTTTAATTGTTCGAGCGATTTTTTCTCTTATTGCTTGTTTTTGTCTTGCTAAAATTTCCTTAGTTTCTGCATAATTTATTTTGGCAATAAAAGTACTCTTTCAAATAACAATTTTCCATAAAAACAAATAAAAATGTTATTATCTATTTGATAATTAGTGAAATACGTGCAAAAATTTTTTATACTTACCTGCATAAGTTTTGCTTTGCTATAATCTTTTATGTAACCTTTCCATATTTCTTTTTCTAATGTAATATTAGTTGTGAACCCAATTTTTCGAAAAAATCCTATAGCACTTTCATCTGCATAAACAAGCATATATTTAATCTTGACTACATCTCTCATGAAATGCTTTAAGCGATTCATCAAACGTCTGCCATATCCTTTATCTTGATGATCCCCATTAACAGCAAAGAAAACAATTTCAATAAAGTTCCTTTCTACAAATGGTCGATAACAAATTCCACCAATCACTTTATTTGGATCTTTAATAATCACTAAACTATAATGATTATGATTATACACGACACGAGCAATATACTCTGCTGGCATCTTTGGTAATGCTGTAGAAATTAATTCCTTAACACCAGTAAGTAAAAATAAATTCTCTCGAGTTCCATCATTATTAATAATTCTCCACCGAATATTGTCTTCTCGCTCTTCTTTAAATATGAACTTATGATCCAAATTATTTCTTTCATCGATATTCGCATTTTTATCAACTGGTTTCTTATGACATATTATATGATTATATTGTTTAGCACTATTAGTGATAGATGTCATTTGATCTTTCATTTTTTGAACAAATTTATCTACATAATCAAAGTCTAATAATTTCCCTTGATTCTCCAAATATTTGTCGATTTGATCAGCAATGTTCAGTAATTTATAGAAGTCTTCACCATAAATATCATCTACATTTCCATGAAGACCTAATTTGTGACCACAAATGCACAAATCTATACATCCAATTCCATTAGCAGAATTTAGTCGCCATCCTTTGCAAGAGCACTTATCTCGTGAAGAATCCGTTGATTCTCCCATGCACGTCATATATCGTCCAATTTTCATATGCCTTTGGTAATTGGATAATGAGTCGATAGGAATTTGCGTAGATGGATAACTTGAACTTGCCATATTTGTTCTCATTTTCTTTGATAGGATAATCGTAATATCAACTAAAACTTTCAGAAGAAGCCAAGTCCTTTATAGAGGAAATGGTTTCCGAAAAAGAAAATTACTGAAAAAAAAGTGAAAATGTTACATTATTTTGTCCAATATATAGAAAAGAAAAAAGGAATGTATATAGAAAAATGTTTTTTTTACAGAACAAGAGATTTAATTTGATATCCGTGCAAGTTAACTACCTTTGATGCATACGCGTAATTTGATCAAAGAAAAACGGAGATCGCGTTAGTACGGCAGGAAAAGAAAGTTTGGAGGTTTATAAATTGTTCGCAATGCAATTATCATGCAATTATCATAATTATCATGCAATGATAGTTACATGAGAAAAGGTGATCTAATTTTTTTTTAATCTTCCCGCAGTATCGCCCTAAGATTTTTTACTCCACGTGTGATTAGACGTATACAAATTACAAATTTGTCAATTGGGTCCAATACTGGTCCAATTATATTTAGTAAATTATTAGCAATACTATTCGTCATGCAATTATTTGTAATATGGTTAATTTCTTACCCAAAATATAAACATTCAAAAGAAACTTATCAGAACAAAGAAACGTTTAAAAATAAGAAATGCGTCAATAAATATATTACAGGTTAGATAATGCCAAATAAATATAGTGATATAATGAAATTAATTATACTGCCAAAACTGTCAAATTACAACTTACCAATTACCAAATTATTAAACATTACTAACTGCTAATATATTATTATTATTAATTAAAAAAAAAAAAATTATTTAACCGATATTCAAAAATTTCAAATAGATAGATATAGTCTAAAAATTATATAGAAAGTTAAAAAATATATAAATTCTAATTTAAAATTTTTATCTTTAATACACTTTAATAGAACAATAAAATTCTGCAAACAAGAGAATAAGGAACAAAAAAATTACTTTTATATTGCTATTATTTATAAATTTTCTTCAATTACAAAGAAAAAAAAGTGACATAAAATCTGAAATTTTTTTTTATATAATTTTTTAATCTTTTTAATTACCATTTTTTTTTGATATTTACTTTTTTATATTTTACATAAATGATTATTATATAAAAAAAATTTTTTATTAAATTGAAGTAAAAAATAATTTGTTAATAAAAACTAGTGTATATTGGAAGTTTGGAACTTTATAGTAAAAGAAAAATAGCCCAAAAATTAAGTACAATTTTAAGATTTTATTTTTTAATAGTAATATATTAGTTTGTATTTTACTTTTATTAATAAGTAATATAAATTTATTAAAAGAAAACTAATACTAATACTTTTGATAAAATGTTTTAATTATTTATAATAAAAAATTAAAATTTATCAATTGCAATCAATCTATTAAATAAATAGAATCAAATGTAATTAAAAAGAATTCCAGATATATATAAAACAACTTATAATTTGACTTTACTAATAGAAAAAAAGCAAATTCAACCAAATTTGAAATTTTAAAAATCAGTTTTTTGTAATTATCTCATAACTATTGATGAGCTTTATAAAATAAAATAAAAAGTTTATTCATTAAATTTCAAGATAATAACAAAAAACTAAAAAAAGTATTAACTTAGTGCAGATCAGTATTTAAAACTATGATTTACTTTTTAGATAAAATAATACAGTAATAAATAATTTAAATAATTGAAATTGATTTAAAAAAAAAAATGTATAAAGATATTGTTTAAAACTTAAAGTACCAATCTTTTTTCTTTACAACTATCCAATACCAGAACTCTACATCATATATCTGATATTAGGTTCTAGGAGCGCCAATCTGCGATAAATAAAACTGTCCTGTTACCCCTGTAATCATAAGAAAGAACATTTAAAACCAAGATTTTATTTCGCAAATATGCCAAGGTAAAAGTATTAAAAATACATACTTAATGCGTATGTATCAAGAAAATAACACGAGGTTAATACGCGTTTAGTAATACATGATTTCCATTCCATGATTTCCTATTTTAGATAAATTACAAAATAATGATCGCGAAAAAAAAGCGCGATTACTAAATAATTTTTTCCATATATAAGCCCTAGGTTTTTCACAGTTTATTTTTTTGCGTTTTCGAGAACCTGACGTAAAAACTAAATTATTAAATTATTTCGTTTACTATAATCAAAATCAATTCAATACTCAATTCTTTTTTTAATTTGAAATAAATGGAAAATACCTTTCAAATTTCTAAAATTCAACCCTCAACAACCGGGTTAACAACCTCAAATAATGATTCAAGTATGCCTGATAATGTCGTTAAGGCATCAAATCAAGTGGCATCTTGGAACGTTGTAAATACGACTGCAACAATAAATACACCGTCTACTAATGTTCAAACTCTCCCAAGAAATGTTATATGTAATGCGATCCTTACCAAACGCGTCTCTGATATTACAAATAGTTGTTTTAATTACAAAACTTCGACGTATATTGATCTACCCAAATGTACCGATCGATCCATGTGTAATAATGAAAATGTTAATGAATTTAATAAGATACAGACTCCTGTTAATGGTGTGACCAGCTTTAATATACAAGATTCTATAAATAAAGTCTCGGAAACTCCTCAAGACATTAATAAAGTACAAACAAATGTTAATTTTTCAACTTCAAATGACGAATCATGCCGAATATCCTCAAAAGGAATCGTCATGCCTGCAGTTGTCATTCCAGAAGATCCTCGAGGGTCAGTGTCTTTAATAAGACCAAGTTATTTTATACCTGGACAAGCGAAACCAAAAACCCTCGATGATGAAGGTATAAAAATGATGAAAAGTGGTAATAAAATTTTATTACCTAAATCAGAAGGGTCACAAGGGTTCGTTATTCCGGGATCTCAAATCCTGATGCAGACGACCAACAAAATGGGGAACGATGAAAATCTTGCACCAAAACCTGATTATTCGTACGCCTCGATGATTTGTCAAGCGATTTTTTCATCCTCTGGAAAGAAATCTACTCTTGCGGAAATATATGAGTGGATATGCTCCACTTATCCATTCTTTAAAAGAAATCAACAAGGCTGGAAGGTATTTATTACTTCGATTTAATCCTTTAATATCTTTATATATGTATGTACGTATATATTTTTATGCAGAATTCGATCCGCCACAACCTCTCATTGAACGCAGCCTTTGTTAGAGCCTCACGTGGCGAAGGAGTCACAGGAAAGGGAGGTTACTGGATGGTCGATCCCAAATACGAACGCTATTTTGTAAATGGGCATTTTAAACCGCCCAGCAGTGAAACCAAGAGCTCTTATAAGAGATCAAAGTTGTTAGACGAAAACGAAATGATCATCACTACCAGTAAAGCCACAGCTGTCGCAAATAAAAAAAATGGAACTATACAAAGTCATAAGCAAAGCCATAATCAAGTAGCCCGAGAGAAATTACGACAGATCAAAGATAACATTGAAGCTGCGGTCCAGATTACTCTCCAATTAAAGGACGAAAAGAATGTTAGTTCCTTAAAGAAAAAGGCCAAAGTTGAAATAGTAAAGAACGTTGAGAAGGTGACGGAAACGATAAACTGCGAGGGTAAAAACCATTTTTTATAATATTCTGATTAGGGAACTTATTATAATCGTCATATCGAACGAATCGAACATGAGTACAACGGTCTAAAATGACTCATTTTAACATTTATAATTTACATAAGATATTCCCACAGGTCCAGAAAAGGACAGAGAAAAAATAATGATTGCAGAAGGATGTGATGAGGTTTATCGTAGATATTACGACGGTAACGACCCTAACTGGCGGAGTGATGCGGAATTTTTCGCGTCATTTAGCCCATTTTTGTAATACTAGAGAGAAATTTTAATATAAGAAAATTAGTGTTTGCTTAAAAAATTTTTCTCTGCAATTCGAAAAAAATTTTATTTTCAAAATTAATATTAGGGTACATGCAATGAATGATCTGTCGTGAAGGCAAAGGAAGAACTTAAACAAGAATAAAATAATTTAGCATAGTAATCCTCAATTCCTCATGAGAGAAAGTAAGCAAAATATCTTGGAATCTTTCAACCACAATTAAATTTTTTATTGATAAATTGGTATATAAAAGTAAACAACAAAGTTAACAAGAACGGACCGGCCGTTTTGACTGTTCAATTTAATAGTCTCAATAAAAAATCGACATGACTAACCTAATGAATTGTGCAAAACTAAGCGATGAACCTACTTCTATAAAGAATATATTTAACAAATGTAATGAATGTATAGGAGGTAAAAATTTGGAAGATATAAACAATGGATTATATGAATTATATGATAAAATTTTAGACTCTAAAATGATGTTAATATATATATGATATTAATTTTTTCTTCTTTTTTTTTTTCTTAATTTTTTTTTTTTTTGTTAAATAATAATGAAGTCAAAAAAAAATTTTTTGCTTTCTATTTTTTATATTGTAATTCGTTGATTAAAGATTATTATTAAATGTTTCTATTCAAATACTAAAGATGATATTAGTTTGAATCAAGAAACTTACACAAGAAAAAATTGCAATTTGATTTTTTAAAAAACGAGCGGAGTTTCCAATACAGCTTCTACAACAGCGTTACGACGTCTCAATGCAAAATGTGGAACTGCAATGTCCAATTCATATATGGGAGGTAAAAATGGCTCTGGTGCAGGAATTTCCACTACAGTGTTTGGTAGTTGGTAACTTTCTATAACGTCCTGTGATAAGTTTGGACTAAAGCCAGAGCTATTAACAGTAACTGTGCTTGTAGAAGGCAACATGTTGGTAATTTAACTTGTAAAATTAAATAGTGAAAGAAAAATAAAAGTATTTGTGTTATAAGTGAGTGGAATAAAGGTTGGTTTTTTTTTTGTATTGTTTTTTTGGTATCGCTTAATGAGAGAGAATCGACTTTATATAGTGATAAAAGAGTTGACAAAGACTTTTTAAATAATAATTTTAGTGGTGACGATTTTCTGCAGTAACCCTTTAAGGGAAACTTATGATTCATTGCTGAATAAAAGTATTGGTCATTGATGCACCCTTGTGAACTTATTTGCTCACATTTTGCTTCACTGAGTAACAAAGAAAACCAAACTATTCAGGTTTTAAAACAAGTAATCATTTCATAACATATGCTCCTCAAAAGCAAAAAAATATTATTGTACCTTTTAGCTTTTTAGCTTCATGTGTTTATTATTATCAGTTTTATCTTTCTATTAATAAAATTTGTGTACTAGAATTTGTGTACAACATACTTCACGATTTAATTGTTTAAATTAATTCTATACCGGCTATTACTTTAAATTAATTGTTTCCTTTATTATTACCGTATAAAACTCGTTTTTAGAGTTTATGATGTACAAATTAGCGGTCAAAAGACCTTAATATAGTCATAATAATTCCTCGTACTATCTACTTTTGTGATGAAAGTAGATTTACCCCCCTTAGCCGATATCGAAATTTAAAGTTTTTGGGTAACATGTGACTTATGTGGCTTTATTGAAAATCCTTTAACAAAAAGGCGGGAATTTTTCATCAATTTTTTTTTCGGGCTTATCTTTCCTGCTTATGCTAAAAGTTTCTAATTAACGAATAATGGCGGCTATTTTTGAAGGAATTGTAGATACGTTCTCTAATATTATACTAGGAGAAAAAGGAACTAAGGGTGAATGGGAAAAAGAACACCGTTACAAGTCTTTTGCTTCTGAAAGAGAAGGTTGTCATGTAAAATGGTATGTCGACGGTAAAGACTATTTTTATGCTGTCTCAGAAGCCCTTATGAGTGCCGAAGAGGAGATTTTCATTGAAGACTGGTGGCTTTCACCTGAACTGGTATATAGCATTCTTGACGCGCAAAAATTTTTCGTGTCTCTTTTTTTTTAAAAAATGTCAGCTTTTTGTCATTCACGTGTTAAATCACATGACTTATCATTATCATTGAACATAGTATCTTCGCAGACCACCTGCCAAGAATGAAGAATATCGTCTTGATAATCTTCTTAAAAAGAAAGCACAACAAGGAGTGAAAATTTATGTTGTTCTCTATAAGGAAATGACCCAGGCTTTGACTTTGGATTCCAGTCACAGCAAACGTTCTTTGCAGGGTTTGGACAAGAACATTCTTGGTAAGAACTTTCTTACCTTACATTTCATTGATTGATATATGCGAAAAAATTTTTCTAGTCTTTAATAATAATTAAATTTACGCGTGTAGTGCAAAGACATCCTGACCATGATCTTGGTGGCACTTTCTTTTGGGCGGTAACTGATTCATTTTAATCTGCTCAATCAAATTTGTCAACACGATGAGTGTTTTTTGAAATTAATCTTTCTTGTCACGAATTTTTACAATTATTCTATTATGCGATAATTTATATATTTAGCATCACGAGGTAAATACTATAAGATTAAAGTGATGATAAAGAAATATCATTAATTAATAACTATTCTTGAAATATAGAAAATTGTAGTTGTCGATAGAAAAACTGCTTTTATTGGTGGTTTAGATTTGTGCTTCGGTCGTTATGATACATCATCGCATCAACTCGCTGATTTCCAGCAAACTTCTAAAAATTATTCTATTTGGCCTGGTCAAGATTATTCAAATCCTAGAATTAAGGACTTCTTTGATGGTATTTTATCTATTAATTATAAATATTTCTTTGTTTGTGTTAGAACCTATACATGCATTTTTTTTATCTATTTCGATCTTTAAATATTTAGTGAAAGTATGGGCACAAGCTTTAATTGATAAAAAAAATACCGCTCGTATGCCATGGCATGATGTATCTATTGGTTTTGTGAGTATCGCATTTAATTGGACTTCTCAAATATTGTTTATAAAAAATTAAGAAATTATTAATCCTTTTGCATATATTCACAGGTTGGCAGACCAGTACTTGATGTTGCACGTCATTTTATTCAACGATGGAACTTTATCAAAAAAGAAAAAGCCGAAAACCGTCCCGAATATCCAGTTTTGATTGCCATGTCTGATCGACGAAGTGATAAAAAAGATCCTCCAACAGTCAGAAGTTTCGAATATGGTAACAAAAAAATTGATTGTCATCCGCATGAGGGTAAATGTAACATTCAAATTATCAGAAGTAGTGCTAAGTGGAGTCATGGACTTGATGAAGTAGAGGTAATATATTAAATTAGTATTTTTATTGAATATGTACTTATATACGTATGTAAAAAAAAAAAATCAAATACATATATTTTATAACAGCGTTCAATCCAAAATGCTTACATCGAAATAATTAGCAAGGCTAAGCACTTCATCTATATTGAAAACCAATTTTTCAGTAAGATTTCAATAAGGTTTATTTTTGCCGTAGGTATAATAAATAATTCAGAATTAATTAATGATGTTTTTTTTGGTAGTTACTGCTACGAAAGAAAGTAATGAATATCCCGTAAAAAATCTTATTGGAAAGGTAAAAATTTTAGACTTTTTATTTCAAATAAACAAATAAACGATATATTTTTAATATATATATCTTATTTATAGGCAATAGTGGAAAGAATTGTTAGGGCTCATAAAAATAAAGAACGATTCAGGATTGTCGTCGCCATGCCTTTGCTTCCAGCTTTCCCAGCTGAACTTGACTCCAGTGATGCTGGTACTGTTCGGTAAGTGCTTTACTTCAGTTAAATATATAATTCTTAACCGAATATCAAATTTATTTTCTATTTTGTACAATCAGTCTAGTTATACATTACCAATATCAATCGATTTGTCGAGGTGGACAGTCGATTCTTGAAGTTTTAAGTAGAGAAGGCGTTGAAAATCCTAGTGATTACATTGAATTTTATGCACTTCGTACTTATGACGAACTAGACTTTGGTGCTATAAAAAAAGGTTTGGGTGTATTGGATGATGAAAAAAAAGTTGTCAGTTCCGGGGAACAATCTGGTGCGGATCCGGCTATTCCTCAAGCACCTGTTGATCAAGATCCTACTGGCTCCTACATTACTGAAGAATTGTATATTCATACTAAACTTCTAATTGCTGATGACAGAATTGTCATCTGTGGCTCTGGTGAATAGGAAATCATTTTTGAGATTTTATTTATTTTTGAATATATGTTAATTAGTTTTTTTTTTCATTATAGCTAATTTGAATGATAGATCACAAAATGGCGATCACGATTCTGAAATTGCTGCTGTTGTCGAAGATAAGGATTACATAGACTCCAAGATGGCCGGCAATGATGTATTTGTTCAAAATTTTAAATTCGTTAGTTTGAACGTTTACTCAATTTATTTTATCTAATTTTACTTTAGTGGAAAGCCGGAAAGTTTGCAGCCACTTTACGTCGTAAAATCTTCAAAGAACATCTTGGCCTGCATAATGAAACTGATCATGAAAGAGTTACTACAGTTTGTTATCCGCCACCGTTAACTATTGATACTTATGATCAGCATGAACTTAATGAACTTGCTAAAGATGATGATAAAGTTTTAGATCCACTTAGCGATAGTTTCACCAACCTTTGGCGACAAACTGCTAAAGTTAATACAGAGGCTTTTCGTAAAGTGTTCCATTGTGTTCCAGATGATACTGGTAATTATAATTTATTAATAATTTAAATAATTTTTACTAATTAGTTTATTTCCAAGTATTATTAACATTATTATAAATATTATTTTAGTTTTAAACTGGGATGATTACAAATCGTTCGTTCCAGACAAAAAGAAAGTTTTAACTGGTCACGTTTGTGATCCTGAAAAATTATCCAAAGAAGGAGTCAAGTCTGAATTAAATAAAGTAAAGGGTCATTTGGTTCAATTTCCATTGAAATTCATGAGTAAAGAGAGATTGTCAGGATCCGTTGTATTTGATAACGTCACTCCTATGGAAATATTTACTTAATTTAAAAAAGTTATTTTATATATACAATTATTTACTATTTATTTAAATTATATTCTAAGGAACTGATTCAAGTTACTTCTTTTAAATTAAAAAAAAAATAAATAAATAAAATATTCAATTATTCTGATCTTTACGTGTTAAATTGGATCATTAATAAATAATCTAATTTATAATTAAAATTATTCTACGTTAATGTAATAAAATTTCATCCCAAATCTAATATGCATAAATAACTAATTTAATTATTTAATTTAAATATGTACAGCAAAACATGGGACTGTCATACCTTAATCTTTATTTAACATAGTAAAAGATGAATGAATTCATTATTAAAATAAAGTGACCCCTCAATTCCCATTACTTAAATTTAAAAATTACAAATTGAGTCAACCACCCATGTCCAAAATCACCCAAAATCACAAATATAAATAATAATTTAGCATACTGAAAAACTCGATTAACATAAGCTATTTAAATATTGGAAAATAAAAAAGTTTTTTTGTACACTAAATTTATGATAACGCGATCGAAAAAGAATAAAAAGAAAAAAGAAAATGTCCTCGCTAAAATAATAATAAACAAACAAACATATATATATATATATATAATTGAATGTTTATATAATTGTTCTTTACACTAGGCAATCTTTACGCAGATTTACAAAAGCACTAGAACCAACTCCATTTCTTGCAAGTTCATTAAGAACAACGGAGGATTGTCGGTAAACTCGTTCCAACGGAGGAATAGGAGGTTTTCCTTGTGATACTAGTGGAATGAAAAAATTTAGTGAAAATTTAGAAAAATTTTTTAATAGTGAATATAGAGAGTCATGAAGGTAGCTAGTACCTAAAATAGCACTATTTAACGCGTTTGCAACTGGTTCTCTACCCGAAGGATCAAGAAGATATGAAACGACACTATTTCGCGGATCAGTATATGCTAACAGCGAAAATGTTTCCTAAAAAGAAAAATTTTCGTGTAAATTATGTATTACATTTCGAAAGTATTAACACGCATATGGTTTAACTAACCTCTAGTGCTTTTTTTATTTCTTCGCGATTATCATCGCGATAATCGTCTTGTAATTCTTGACCAAATCGCATGGCAGCCTCAATCATTCCATCTAATCCATTTAACTCTGTTTCGACACCTTTCCGTCGCTTGGATGTTTTTTTCGTTTTAATAAGTGTTACTGAACCATCTACTTCTTCAACAGATTCATGATCACTTTGGTAGTCATCAACATCCATTGCATCCATTGCTTCCATTGCATCTGCGTATTCATCATCCCCTTCTTCTTCTTCAGCCTCTTCTCTTTCTTCGTCCTCATCATCTTCCTCTTCAAGATCATCATCTACGACCTCACCGATGTCTACATCATCATCAACAACTTTATCTTCAATTTCGTCATCATCATCCTCTTCTAACATTAAATGATCTTTACCGACCTTTACAACTTCATCATCATCATCATCCGAGCATGTAATCTGGCTTCCAGCACATAACCCCATCATTTCTATAAATTTACGACAACGAAGTTGGAAAAGTATATCGCCATTAGATGGCAAGACAGAAGGATAAAACGTGTTGGTTAATTTGATGGCAAAATCTATTTCACCCTTAAGGACAGCATCACGGATCCCTAAAACACAAATTTAAATGTTATTATAAGTGAAATAAATGCGTCACATATATTTTATTAGTTCTATATCTGCATACTCTGCCGGTTAATCATATCCTTATCCGAATCTAAAGATGAATTTTCACTTTCAACACCTTCCATTTCACTGCTGTCGCCTGACGCAAGTTGAACGGCATCTGTTGAAAATGCCTTTGCAGTTTCACTATATCCATGATGAACTAGATAAGACACAATAAGTTGGTGAACTGTTGCTGTAAGATTTGTCTCAGAAGCGGCTTGAGAAATAGGTAAAGAGGTCAATGGCGATGAGATTGGTGGCATAGGTTTTGCATTAATAGCATGCCATAATCGAGCTTTTTCTTCCTGTTAAATGGTATTTTTAAGAATACTAAACATTGAAATAATACAATTCTATGAAATTGTCTAACCTTCATATAATGCTCAATCGCGTATTTAAAATTCCTATTGCCAAAATTGACTTCTACAGACTCTCCTTGCGTCCGCAATCCAATCGAAGGATATAGATCACCTTTCAAATCTCGGAATGCAATACCTTTTATAATGATAGAAATTGGTGAATTTTTTCTTTTTTCACTTTAATGTACAATAATTCACTTACCTAGATGCTTTCCGTTCTTTGTATAGAATGCCGTGCCATCTCTGAAATTTAAACAGCATCCAATAGTATCACCTGTCGTAAACGTTGGTCCATATGGTTTACCAGTACCTGAGCAACAAAAAGAATGTCCGTCGTCTCCATGATAACCCCATGAATCATTTTCCCATCCTATCAACAATAATAAGATCACTATGAAATTAATGTGTGATCACACAAAGATAAAAAAAAATTTACCAGGCAATCGATTTAAAGGAACAATTTTTGAACAAAATCCTATCCCAATAAAGCTATGAAAGAATAAAGATTAATGATAATAGCAATAGCAACAGAATTGGAGTATATTATAACTATCCCTCACCCGTCTTTTCCCTTGCTTATAACATCAACTTCAAAATAAAATAATCCACATTGTGGAGGCATAGGATGATTAGCTCTTATTGCAGCAGCATCTATGTCATTCTTTCCTGAGCCTAAATTTGTGTCATGAAAAAATTTGTGTTATTTGAATATGTTCATAGAGTTTTTTTCGATCCACTATATCTGATTGTGGCTCATAATAGTTATTGATTCAAAAATAAATTTAATTATCATAAATGTTTCTTCATAACAAATATGAAATGATATAATTGTTTTAAAATAAAAAATGTAAAAACATTACATTGATTCTAGAAATTCGTTATCCATTTATCTCACCTATATAATTTACTCTAAGTTTGTCAGGATCCACGCTAAGGTGTGTACATTTATCGTCAACATTCCATGCTGTTGGCAATTCCAAGTTTTCGAGTGGGTCCTTGTCGAATTGACTTTTTTCCGTATTAGAATTATTATAATATAGTTCCGCAAAACTTGTATCAGCTAAGTACTCTGGCAGTTTTGGCTTCTGAGTCTTCAACTTTGACTGCTTACTTGACGTGTTTGAGGTCACAGTTGAAGAAGTTGATAGATTATTATAGTAAGAAGCTCGTGTAGAAGAGCCAGAGGCATAGGATGTCGATGTAAGAGGATATGTTGTAATAGTTGGCCGATAGTACGGTGCGGAAATCTGAGATAACATGGCGGGTGGTGGATTAGACATTGGATAAGTTGAACTAGACGACGAATTAGACATTAAGGCTAATTGTGCTGCAGTCGCACTGTTAAAGATATTTCTCCTAGAGGAGATAGAATTTGAAGAGGTATTTGTCATTAACTAAAAAATTTTTTTTTTTTTCGACGAATGCAAGGATCTTTCAAAGTTAAAAAGTTGAAACAAGAAACGCTTTTATGTACAATGAGTATATCGGATCATAAACTAACTGATAACTTTATTAATGCAACTGCCGCAGTTTAGCACATGACTTTATTATAAATAAGGAATCAGAATTCAATGAAATAAATTTTTAAAATTTGCAATAAAAATAACCATGTACGGTAGTTACATGGAATGTCTTTATGATGTTATAATGTATTTAATTAAATACCACCTAAAATAAGGTTTAAACACAATATAAATTGAATATTCTTCACAATGATTATTAAATAATACTATACCTCTTCGTTATCGGTTCTTATTCGTAGAATCCCTACATCTTATTATTTGATTCTCTAAACCATTTCATAACTTGTTTCTTGTATACTGAGAAACAATTTTTATAAAAAAAAAAAATAAATAAATGCGATAACAAGGAAACAAACTAAGCGAATATTTGCACCTTCTGGTTTGGCCCAAAGTTCTGCAGCTTCTGTATTTAATGGACTATCAATGTTGGGTTCTAGTGATGAACAAAGTTACTATATTTAAATAATCTTCCAGAGTTATAAATCAAATCAAATTAAATTGCTATGCAGTACCTCCGAGAAGACTTTGTAAAGAAACAAGAATACTTGTTACATTATAAATAGCTGACCATTTATCCTGAATTCATATTCACAAAATGAGTTAGAAATTATTATAACCTGTAAAATTTAGCTTTAATATAATAAATAACAATCGAAATTTTAAAGCGACCTTGAGAATATCTAAGCAAATGTTACCGTATTCGTCTACATTTGGATGATAACAGTGTGTTTGAAATAGAACACATGGAGCAGAAAAGGGATAATCTGACGGAAACTTCATAGTGATCTTATAAGTTAGACCTTCATAAATCTAGTAGTTCATCATAATTAATTTATTAGACTAATTAAAAATAACATGAGAAATGAGATGAAAAAAATAAGGAAGCTAATCGATTTCACTTACTGTTCCCTCTGGTCCCACTATTGATCCTACCCAATTGAACAAATTGTCCGTATCAGGGAAAGCTGAAACCCCGGGTGGTTGTGAAAACTGTCAAATAAAATTTTGTAAAATTATTTACGGATAGGTATAACCCATTATATCATAATTACCATCAATTGCTTGAGTTCACTTTTTAATCTGTAAGAGAATCAGGATAGATAAAATAAGTATCATGAAAGACTTGTTGTAAGCATTTTTTGTTTTTTAAAAAACATTAGTTTACCTGTTTAATACGGAATTACTATCTTTAATAACTCTAGAGTTGGACTGAGATTTTCTGAGGCTATCATTGTTCGTACTAGCAGAATTGGTCGACGTTGGCTCCATCGCTTAAATTTTTTACGATATTTTCAGCAAAGCTAATAGTAAATAGATTTATTACTTATTACTTTATTCTTATTATACTTGAATCTTTATAAACTTATTTCCTTAAAGTTATTGAAAAGAGTGCGTATCAAGTATTAAAAAACGCGAAAAAAAAACTTTCGATGTTTATATTCGTTATCTGACCTCTTATCATTGGATCAGTGTCATCGTTGTCTAAAATAATATGCAGACCTACAATTTTGGGAATTAAAAACGTGTTAATTTTTTTTTTATCTGATTTACCATTACAAAAGTTTAATTAGTGTTCGTTCAATTTCAAATCCGGATCCATTTTAGCTAAAGTTAACTAAAAGTAACATGAATCTTAGATCACGCGCAACAAAACGCCATTCCCCAGTTTTGCAGGAGGTACTTGACTTTTATCCTATTAAGACGAATAAGTTTGGTAGACAAAAGAAACAAAAACAAGTAAATATTGTATATCAACCTGTTCAAGCTCAGCAAAAACGAAGGAAACATGTTTATATAAGTCGTGGAGATGTTGGCGAAGTCTTTTTTGATGAATGGGAAGACATTGTCCTTGGACCAAAAGTACAGCTGCTGCAGACCGTAGGAGTAGATTTTGAATCTTTGCCTCAGAATGCTTACGAATTCGTTAAAATTAAACCAACCGACTTTGAATTATTGCAAGAAGAGTGAGTGTTACCTGTAAATAGAATAGAAACATTTCATAATCAATTTAAATGTTATCTTTGTCGAAATATATTATTTATAGTTTAATTAAATATCAGTGTAGGAAAAACATATCTTCCACACTCACAGAATCCAACTTCCGTTATAATAGGAAATTCTTCTCCAATTCAAATTCATCAGTTTGAAACACACCCAATTCGTAAGAAGTTCTCATTATATTATAGAAATTTGAGTTAAAAATAATAATAATTTTTTATTGTGATTCTAAGATAGCGAGCTTCCGAAGAAATTAGGTCATATATTAAACGTCGGTAAATCAGTTTGGGCAATGGATTGGTGCCCAAATGTATTATCTGAAAGTAACTAGACATTATTGTTTTCCACCAAATTAGCAGTATATGATTAATTTTTATATTGGTAGAACATTTAATGTTTATTATATTTAAAATTATTCATAAAGGAGAACAATATCTAGCTATAGGTGGGTACAAATCCACTACGGATGAGCACCACACTATCGGACAACGACAAAAAGATGATATGAACAATTCAATACAGATTTGGAAAATCGATTCTAGTTTAAATATTTCTGATGCTAAGTCACCGCATTTGGATATGGTTTTGTGCCATAATTTTGGATGTGCCTTTGATTTACAATGGTGTCCTTACGGAGCTCATGATAAATTTGAGGTAAATTAAATTTCGTTAATTAATAAATCAGAAATTTTTTTTCAAACATGTTGCCATATATAAATAGGGAATTCAGCAGCAGGATAGCTTTATTCCGAAATTAGGGATTATTGCAATTTCTTTTGGTAATGGTAGTATTGGAATATACGCTGTACCGGAACCTAATAGCATAAGAAAGAAATATTGTTTATCTCCAAACAAGACATTATTTGGTAATAATAATATTCCTTTGTTGGTGATTATGAATTTAATAATATAACGCATAATAACATTATATAGTAAATAACATTATTTAGTAAAACTTACGAACGCGTTATATACGTTTTCGTTACCAAACGTTATGTGTTGGACAGTAAGTTGGGGCGGTCATAGAAAGATTGCATCTGGATGCACAAATGGTTTGTAGCTTGTTGTTTGTAGCTTGTTACAAATAAGTCACATATTATGATCTTTATATTTACTCAACCTGACATTTTTTTGCATCAAAATAATTATCATTTAAAGGTGATATTGTTATATGGAACATTGAAGAAATTTTAATAGAAAAAATTTCTCATGGGGAGATTAAAAATTCAGAAGGTTTTACGATACATAATAATATTTTAATGTTTATCTTATAAAAAAACATTATTTTAAGAAAATTTTAACTATTATTAAAAAAAGTTACTTCCCCGATACAATATTTTCGTGCGCATGATTCTTGCGTTCGTCAAGTATCGTGGAATTCGATGCAAAATCCTAGTCACATTATGAGCTGTGGACATGATGGTCGACTACAGATTGTAGATGATCGTGATCCGTGGGTCAAAAATAATTTTCAGCGAATTAGAGGTGACTAATATAATATTTGCGATTATGTTATTTATTGATTTATAATATTTGACTTTCAACCCATTTTTTTTAGCATATTTAATGACAGCATGTTGGCCAAACCACTATGGCGGTGTCTTATTTGCTGATACAGAAAACACAGTAAGATATATCCGAATGGAAGATTTAAAAAAGACTACTGGAGTTATGATGCATCACGCTATAGTTTGGGTAATTTGAAAAGTTCAAACGATTCAATACCAAAAATTATACTAACAATATTTCAATAGAGGATTGCGGCATCGTATTTTCATCCATTTGTCGCAAGTTGTTCATCGGATGGGACGGTAAAAATGACAAATATTTGTCGCTTAAGAGACAGGCACCAGGTATAATTTAATTTCGTAAAAAAGTTTCCGTAATTCATTGATTCTAAGAAATTTTGATTATTAATGAATAGAAACCAATTCAAGTGACATTATACCGGCTCAGTATCGAAGAAGATATGAAAACTGTCAAATATTGGGATAATATCAAGTCTAAGGTAACAGCTCACTCTTTATTATAACCACACATTCAAACTTTGGCTGCAAGTTGCCGAGATTTTAAACATTATTTGGAAGAGGAACATATTTATGATTGTTTAAACTTAATTATATAAATAGGAAACGACGACCACATTTATGGACAATAAAGCATTTAGTCACTTTTTCATGCCTGAAGTTTCTATTCAACGAGTAAGATTAAAAATAATAATTTTTTTTTCAAATATCGAATACATCATATTAACATTCAGTACGAATAGGTTTCATGGAATCCGAATATCGAAGCAGGATCATGGATTGCGTCGGGAGGTACATTAGGGCTAGTGAGAGTTGAATCTACAAAACGGGACTAAAAAATACTACCTAATCTTTAATATTAATAATATATTATAGTTATTATGGTAGATGATTTATTATTATTTGAATTAAGAAATAATCCACATATACATTATAATTTTCTATATGTAATTAAATTATGATAATCATTGATTTATTTTCAACTCTTTCAATAAGACAAATAATAAATTTAACCAAATATCGGAGGGACCAGGTATACACCATCTTATACAATCTTGACCACCAATATGGTCGTCAATTCTAGTTTCCATAACATTTTCTAAATTCCAATAAACCCCGCCAACAGCTTCAATAATTTCTTTAGCAATCATATTTTGTTTATGTATTTCACCCCAATGATAAGGTAATTCAAAAGCATTGTAAGGATTAGATAAAGGTTTAAGATTTGGATTATTACAATTTAAATGGCCTACTGTAGTTGACCTAAATATTAAAAGAGTATTTGGATTTTTTGTACGAAGATATGAAACTAATCGTATTAACGAGGAACGAAAAGTCGTATCATCTTGGTAATGATGACCCTTGTTAAGTATAATTACACTAAAATGATAAACGTAAGAAGTCCAAGGTAGTTCTAAATTGTTTATTTGAATATGACCATTGTCTTCTGGGAGAACTAAAGTTTTTCTAGTGGATAATATATCATTACGAGCATATCTCATTACTGAAAATAATTTATCATCATCTTCGAAAGGAGAAGGAGGTCTACACAAAATATGATCTTTACATGCTATTTCACCATAACATTGAACAGGTCCATCATGAAAATAATTTAACATTAATTCATGAAGTTGATAAGATGATACATCACCTACTAACAAAAATTTTAGGCCAGTTATCAATGAACAAAAATCTTCCCGAGTAAAATTTGGTAGAGGACATTTATGAGGAGTTTCCCATTTATATTTTACTGAATTTCTCGAATTATCCCATATCTCTTCAATTGAAGCATTTTTATTTAAAGATTTAGAATTTTTATCGCATTTTCCATAAAGAGGTTCTTGTTTATGTTTAAGAATGGCTCTTGGCGTATCATCATAAACCCATTTTCCTTTTGTTGAAATACAATCCATACGTTCACGAAATTTTAATAAATCTTTTTTGGTTTTAATATTTGAACCCGGAATTGAAGAAAGGAAAGAAAACTGTTTAAGACTTTTTTTTATTTCTATACGAGTTTCTTCTATAGCAGCTTCTATATAATTTGAAGATAAAGAAGTTGGATGATTAATAGTTTCGGGAGGAGAATATAAAAAGTAAATTGACAAAAATACTACTGATAAAACGAAAAGTATTCTTGCTAAACTATGTATTTGTGGCATATTTCTTGTAAAATGAAAACTAACAAATAATTTGATATAATTTTAATAACTTACCGCATATATAGCAATTCCATATTTGGAATGTTACTCATTTCATTAGTTTTGGTTGCATGATCATCCACATTTTATAACCGCTGGCCATTTCAGGTCAAATTTATGATGCCGGCCAGAATTACAAATTCATATTATCACGTGATATAATTTTTATCCTTGAAACATAGATAATTTTTGCCAGAATTATGATGTAAATTTAAATGATTTAATGTCCAAATGCAATCATTTGAGGCCATTTGGGTCACAGTAACAAAATATGATTTACATGTAACATGTGCAACTATGATTTTACATTTTTTAAAACAAAAACCAACTTTAAAACTTTTTAAAAGTGCTTTTTCTTTTATAAGTACCATGACTGATATAGAACAAATCACTGGTAACTTATCTATAAATCAAACCTAAAAGTGATATAAATATCATCTAACGATTTAACAATGTAATTCTTTTTATAAATAGAAACAATCCGGCCAGTTGTTGTATCTGGACCATCAGGTATTATTATACTTAATGTATATAATGTAATAATATAAGTATAATCTTAATATTTGTTAGAATTTATAAGGGTCGGGAAAGTCAACTTTGCTTAAACGTCTTTTTCAAGATTATCCTGACAAATTTGGATTCAGTGTATCTCGTAAGGAAATTACTAGACTTTTTCATAATATTTATTACCAAATCTTCATATTCATATTCATATATATATTTAGACACTACTCGTTCGCCTCGCCCGGGAGAGGAAAATGGTGTTCAATATCACTTTACATCACGTGAAGAATTTGTTGATCTCATTAAGCAGGATAAATTCATTGAATATGCAGAATTTTCGGGAAATTTATATGGAACTAGTATTGATGCTGTTAAGTCTGTCTTAAGTCAAGGAAAATTTTGTATCTTGGATATTGAATTAAATGTAAGATTAAAATTAATAACTTTTTTTTGAATCACTATTCACTAATTTTTCATTATTTATCTAAAATTATAGGGAGTAAAAGCTGTCAAAAAAACAGATCTTAATGCACGATTTGTTTTTATTAAACCACCTTCGTTGGAAGCTCTTAAAGAAAGGCTTATTGGTCGTAAAACTGAGACTGAAGAATCTATACAAGCACGTCTTAATGCTGCAAAGGAAGAACTAGCCTACGCGGATCAAGAAGGTTCACATGATATAATTATAGTAAATGATAATCTAGATACTGCATATGAAAAATTTAAAAATTTCATTGTTGAAGGCAAATCTTAGATGTATATTATTTATTTTTTCTCAGTTGAAATAGACAAAAATTTTATTTATTACTGATATTTTGATTCTTAAATAAAAGTAAATAAATTGAGCTTATCAAGATTATGAATTCTTTATAATTTAATTCCTAACTTATGTTCCATTGATGCATGCATATCCATCATATCTGTTGACAATTCCGGAACTATTATAATAATGAAAGATTTAATTTACTTAATATTTTCTTAAAAAAGAAAAACGATTAAATACATTAAATACAGACCATTTAAGAAATCTTCAAAATCGATTGTTTCATCCTTTCCCATTAAAACTTCCAAACTTAAATTAGAGGAAGGTAAGATTGGTGCGCGTTGAACCTGATTTACAATCAAGCCAACTTATGTTTAGTTACATAGTTTTCAAAACATATATGTATAAAACTTTAATAAAAGCAATTCTTACTCTTGATACAATACTACGTTCCATGAGCTGTCTAACTGGAGCATGGATACCGTAAATCCTTCTTTCTAATGTGAACTTCAAATTCGTTTGAGTTTCTTCCCACTATGAACGATGTAGAAAAGATCAATTTTATAAGTTCACATGTCTTAATATATAATAAATTTTTATCATTACATGTTTGAGTCTATGCTCTAATGGATGCTTTGGCAAAATATCGGTCGCAATTGATTTTGGTCCATAGCGGAAAGTATCATGAACGCCGAAAGAATTGACTGTCTCTGCAATACTTTTATTTGTAGAGTCTGGTTGAGTAGAGGGAGTGATACGAAGAGACTGAGGATCCTAAAAAAAAAATGCTACATTAATTAATAATGAAGCTAACTAATAATGAAATTTTAACAACATACCATTGTTAGAATTTCTCGTGGTTCAAAAAGTAGACAAGAAAATGTAATTTTTGATCTGATTGCGTAATCTTTAATTCGTCGATTGTTGTACTATACATGTGATATTCCGAGATTTGATATTTTTAAGCCACAGATCTACCGAATTACGCTGTTAGAAAAATTCACTTCGTTCAACTCTTCATCTCACACTATTAAGGTTATTTATCTCGGAAGTTCATTTAAAACCATCTTCAACCACTTTTAAGCGAAGATAAACTTATATTACATCTCGCGTTATAAGCCGCTCTCCCACAATTTTTCCAGCTAGCGTGTGAATTCGGTTAAAAGATCTTGCTGAATGTCAATTTTAGGGAGGCAAGCTTTTCTCTGAAGTATTTATGACATACGCGCCTAATTTTACTTCTACAAGAGTGAAATATGTCTTCAAAATTATTCCTTTTGGAAGAGGGAAAGAAGTACTGGTGAACGAGGTGCTATTTAATGTAATCAGAGGATCATGAGTAGATGGGTGGAGCGGAAAACTAATAAGAATTACCGTCGAAGAATGAAGAAAAAAAATTTTATAACTACCCCCCCCCCCCCTTCACCTCTAGATTATTCAAATTTTATTTTTTTGACTGAAGATATGCGATATTTATATTTAAACTTTTTCCTTTAATTATATCCCTTTACAAGTGATAAGCATGCTCGAAATACTTTGCCCCAAAAAATCTCATGTATGGGTACCTATTTGACCTATAGAGACTTTCACGGCATTGACCTATAGAATTATGATGCGCGATCTCACTTTTTCGATTATCCATTTATTCTCTATTTGGGTTAATTGAAGATATTACCCCAATGTGCCCACGCACGTTCGCTAAAATGTTAATGACGGCCTTAGCTTTTTAACAAAGCCAACGTTTTTTAAACGAACGCCTTCTCCAGCTGATGATGAAGGTACAAACAAGATCGAAATGATGACAAGACGTCTGATTGTTCAGACATGACAACAACACCGACCCTGCCTGATTTATTCCCTTTCTTATTTTACTTTATCTTTAGTACCAACATTTAAATTTATTCTCGCTTATTTAACAAAAATAACACAGTCCAAGTTTACATGCATTATTTTACACCTGATAGTATTTACGTGTGGCACTGAAGAACAATGCGGGCTTATAGTGAATTTGAGAATCGAAGTTTATTTTCATTTACTATTTAATTGGCTTTTTTACTTTTATTCCGGTTCTGTTTGCGCGTGTAGGTCCATAACAATTGTCTTTGGCGGCCTTGCATTAGTTTAAAATTCTACGCGTGTATATTTTTTTCTAATTTATACGTAGTTTGTACTATACATGAGTTCTACTAGCTATAAAAATAAAAATAGAAAAAAAATACTCGCTAAGGAACAAATAAAAAGGTTAGATGCTGGGCCAATAAAGCTGGTAACTTAAAAGTAAAAGGAGAGATTTTTTATTGAGGTGGTAATATGCTCAAAGGAGAGAAAGCGAAAAGGGATTCTAAAGGAGTGTAACCAGACAAGAGAATTAGTAATTATTTAATTCGTATGGTTATAATTAATTAATTAGAGTCATTGGACAAAAATAATGAGACTTTCAGAAAAAGTCTTGGTTCAAAAGTCAATAGCCCATGTCAAGTTTTACTTTAACAAAATAATTTATCTACGAATTTTATTGGCCGACGCATTAAAAGATATGTTCAACAGACGTCAAAGTAATAGATAGTACAAGTGAATTAGATAGATCTGCTTAGAGATGTTGTATGTGGATTATAATAATAACGGTATTGATATTATTAATTACATTATCTCTTCATAAATAAGTTACCTATTACTTACTTCTCAAATAATGAGGATGAAATTGGCAACGATTCCAAGGTAATTTTGTAGATATCTTTATATTATTAAATTTTCAATAATAAACAATAATTTAAAATATTCATCATTTTTTACCAGATGATCTTCAGGTTTAGTTCATCACGCTCAACCTATTCGATATTATACACCGATAAATATATTCATGCAAATGTTGGATAATTACGAATACTTGATATAGATAATATAGATTACATCAGCAATGTGTCAAATACTTTATTCATCATTATGAGTTTCGGATAATCGTTATCTAAAAATTCTAAAACTTCTTCAATATAGAATAAGAGTACAGGATAAGAATATAGGATAAGAGTATAGGATAAGAGTATAGAAAGAGTTATAGGATAAGAGTTTAAAAATATAAGATGTGGTAATGAGTAATAATATCAGATATCATTAGGGAATGAAATTACACATATCGAAATTATTACTTTAAATCTTTGTACTTTTCTATTCCTAACTTAATATTTCAACTACATTTCCTAAATTTGCTGCCTTTTGATATAATTCAAATGCCTTTTGTTTATCAATACTAATTCCAATTCCTTTGTCATAATGACATCTCAAATTATCTACATTTGGTATTCTCCCATAATAAACTTTGCATATTTGGATAAAACTATGTAATGCCATCATTTGAAAGTTGCCGTGTTATAATACTATGGTTCGCTTTTCCATACTTCTTTAGATTGTAGGACTCTCTTCAGATTTAAAATTCGTGTTCTGATGTTGCTTCTGGATTTTGGCTCTTGTAATATGTTTACATACTTATATTCGATTCCTACATTCTATTGATCTTCGATTTTCTTGAATTCTCTGTGTTTCAATTAATATACACAGCGATGTAAGTGTAACTTGACTACATCATCTTGAATTCTTAATAAGGTCGTCTATGCTTTTTGGTATCAAATATAAAACCCATAGGGTCTACGTTCGAATCGTTCGAATGATTTATCCTAATTAAACTTTTAGAGCTCTATTAATTTACTAGATAAGCTAACATTTTTTACTTTAACTTCTTATACAATGAATTAATAACCACTTAGTTATTAACTCATTAATTTTAATTTCTTAATTGAAAATTCTTTAGATAAAACTACTAGATTTATTAATACCCTATTCCTGGTCCTTTATAATATTGTTTAAATATCACGCTATAATCGAAATCTTAATTCTCTTGTGCTTTCCTGAATACCATACTGTTTTCGAATAACTCATATATTCTCATATTGGATTCGTATTTCAATCAATTTTTCTCTGAAAATAAATTCTCGTATATTGACTTTATAAATTTTCATCTATCATAATCACGTGATTGGCTCTGCTGTGCTGCAGCTTAATTTTCCCACACCAATATGCACTATATATACGCTTTTGAATTAAAATTTTTTTTTTTTCTTATTACTCCATATTCTTGACCTCTCATTGACTTGTTAATGTCAAAATCTTTCAATATTCTAATTTTTCACGTACTTCGATTCTTTATTTTTGATAAAGGTTCGTCAAAATTACGATTTTTTGCATGTAAAATTACATACTTCCAATAATCTCGTTTTTGCATTTCGCATATGATTAAAAATTCTATTAATTTTTCTAGATCAAATTTTAAATTTTTATATTCTGAATTTTTTTTATTCCGTTTTCTCATATGTTTCTTATCATCTCGTCGTAAGCGTTGTAATTTCTTATCATGTTCAAATAATTCCTTTTCTTTTTTTATTAATTCTGATTTTAACTTCCTAATTTCATTAATGGTTTCTTTTATTTTCTGAGGCATTTTTGATAAAGGTTTGTCAAAATCACGATTTATTGAATGTAAATTAATTACATCATTCCAATAATCTCGTTTTCGCGTTGCGTATTTTATTAAAGAATCTATTGATTCTTCTTGTTCAAGTTTTAAATTTTCACGTTCTGAATTTTTTTTATCCCATTTTTCAGCTTCATCATATATCTTGCTCTTATATTTCTTATCATCTTCTTCTGTTCGTAAACGTTGTAATTTCTCAAAATTTTCATTTGCAACCTTATTATGTTCAGATAATTCCTCTTCTATTTTTGTTAATTCCGATTTTAACTTCCTAATTTCATTAACTTTTTCCTTTACTTTCTGATAAGTCATTTCATTCAAATAATATCTTTCAAAAAGAATGTCACATAAGCGATAACAGATAAGAAAACAATACAAACAGACTTTTACCATTTGACTTTGTACCCCAAATTTATTATATTTTTAATGCCTTAATCTTAGCAAAATTTATCGTACAAGATATAATATAACTATTTTAGGTAGATATCATGTATTTAATATTTAGGCAACACAATAACAATATTTTGTAAACCAAATTTGGTGGATTTAAAGAGATTTATTAAATTTTACTTGCTTACAAAATTATTAATAATCGAATTTTAATGTTGGAAACTATATGAAATCTTTGGAAAATATCATTATATCAAATTATACCAATATTTATATATTTATTCATATAGTGAAAAAGTAAAATTTTTATATAATACCAATATATTAAATATTGGTATATTGAGATTTAACTATATAAATAACTTTTTGCCAAAAATCTTATAATTTTAAAAAATTATTGCTATTAGATTTCTTTCATTAAAATAAACGTGTTAATAATATAAATTTTATTGAATTAATCTAAAACCAGGAAAATTTTTTTGAAAAATATTTTAAAAATAAGTAAATTTGTAAAAATTTTATGATAAATAAGCAAATTTTATCTATAACCTATATATAAAATTTTTTTCTAACTTTAATATTTACTAAATATATTACAATAATTTTATTTAGAATTCTATTAATTATTTTCCAAAAGTATTATAAAGTAAATTTATAAACATTAAGAAATATAGCTGCTTATGCACTCTGCTATAACATCCCCCTACCTATATAGCTAAATAACTTACCAATTGTATATATGCGGGATTCTTTCTAGAATAACAAGTAGTTTATTAGTTGTTCTTTAGATAAAACTTGTATTTTGTCCTATACTCTACTCTCAAACTAATAAATGTGCAGCATATTAAAAAATAAATAAACATTGAAAATATTATACTGTATACTGCAAATATATAGTGGTTTTTCTTATAAAAAAAAATATATATATAAATTGTATTATATATTAAAGATTATTATTTTAACCAGTTTTGGTTATTAATAAAAAATTAGTTTCAGTATATGTAAAACAGTTTCATCATTTTAAGTTTAAACTAGTTTTGACTATTAAAATGGCAGTTTTAGGTAGTAACATTAATTACAAGTCCCCAAAACGATTCATTATATTTTGCAAAAATTGTTGGAAAAAAAAAAATACTCTGATGCTATTAACCTTCCATTTAGTGTTATTAGTTTACAACTTGTATATGATCCACCCGCTTGGCAAAGTTTTAAGTGGAATATTATTGGAAGTTATGTAATATGCCAAGAAATCTAATTGCATAATCGGCGGAAAGGCGGGTTTTTATTTTAACATAGGTTTTGATGGCATCACTTTACCGAATACAGATTTTAAATTGAAGAGGATAATGCTATAATTATTACGATACAACGAATGAATTATACTGTATATCAGAGATCATGTTCTTTTTTTAAATCAACTTCTACCCAAGTTACGTAAGATATGATGTAATTTTGACGACTAAAATTAAAAATATAATAAATTATGATCATCGACGCCCAAGTGGCGAAATTTTTTTAAAGAGATAAACCTAAACGAAAAGTAATTAATATATTTCGATGAAAGTATTCTAAGTAGGTTTGATTTGTTTCAAAATGGAAGATCAAATTAACGCTGGGGATCAAATTAAGTTAACCTGGTGAAAACTATTATTATAAGCATTGTTTTTGTTGCATAATCGTATTGCATAATAATGCATTAATTATTTTTTACTAAAATCAGAGAAAAAAAAATAAACTTGAACATTATTTAAAATGTTCAACGAAATAAAATAATAATTATGAATTGCATTTAAAAATGAAATGGTTCGATAGAATATCGGATGAAATACTTTGACAAACGGATAAAAGGTTGTTGTGTTTCGTAAACAAGTATAAATTGTTTCAGATAAAGTAACAAGTTTTAATTTTAGTTTGACTGGTTTAAAAAAATATATAAATATAAAAAATTTCCTTTTTTTATTCTATAACAATAAATTAAATTAATGATTTACCATGTTTTTTTTTTTTACAATAAAAGATATAATGTTACAAAACTTCATGCATCAATAAAAGAAAGAATTTTATTGGTGTAATAATTTTTAAAAGTGGTAAAGGTTACACAAAAAAAAGATCACATATGATATAAAAGTTTTTGAAATTATAGTAGGAGAAATAACATGTAATGTTGATAAAAGAGATTGCTTAGTAATAAATAAATAATTATATTTGATAAATACCACTATATTTCCGTTGCGGTAATGCCGATATTTTGATCAACAATTGTTATCATAGAAATTTATTTTCCGTAAATACACAAAAAATATTAATGCGATTATTATAAAATAATTAAATACATAAAATACATAGATCATTCTTTTTCTTAAGTGTGAAATGTAAATCATTTCTTTAGCGTGCTTTTAATTATGATCGTTGGTACTGACATTAATTTGACAATTATTAGATGATCAAAAGATAAAAAAAGAATTACCAATTAAAAATAGAAATAATTTATGAAAATTTTTGAATGGCAAACGAAAATCAGTTAACTAAAATTAACATTATACTCTCTATATCTTACTATACCTAACTATGCTCATTATACTAATTGAATAAATGTGGAAAACAAGACTGCGGTCTATTTGGTACCATTTTGTCCATTTTGAATTTTAGTACAGGGATAATTTTAAATTCATTGTCTTCTCATACATTTTTTTAATTTTTCTTTCTTAATTACGTAAAAATTTCTTCATACATTCTTTTAATAGAGCAAAAAAAGTTTAAATTTAAAATTTTTCGGCATTCGGCAGTCGGCAGATGGATTTTGTATTCTAAAATATATGCATATTTAAAAATGTACTTTATTTAGTACACGCTTTTAATTGCCCTGCATAGTCTGCATTCATGGGTAACAAAAATTTATTACCCAATCATTTGTTAATGAAACAATTAACATTTAGATAAATGTTTATATGTTTATATGAAATTTTTAAAATTAAAAAAAAATCAAGTATTTGACGAAAAGAAAACGTTTTAGTTTAAATTATACAAGATTTTTCGTGTCACCTTAAGACAATAAATTATGTTTTGATTTTTGGTTCAGAAATCATTTCACGGTTGTGTTTTTTTTTTGTTGGTTTTTTTTTCTCTTTTCACTTTCATTCTGGGGGGAAAAAAATACATAAAAAGGTATTGTATGTTTATATGTTGTGTTTATTCGGTCTTTTTTCCTCAAAAGAAAAACAAGATAAAAAACAAAAAAATATTATTTTTTTTTTTTAAAATAATAAAAAAATTTAAGTAGTTTTCTAACTGAAAAAAAAAACCTACCTTTTTTTTTTTATTTTTTAGTTGATTATTCAACTTTTTTTTTACCTTTATTTTCTTTTTCTTCGAAAAATAAAAGAAGGTGTGACGTATTTTGCTTCCTTTTTATCCTTCATATGATAATTTATCAACAAAAAAATATTTGGTTTTACTTTTTTATCTCTTATCCATATGATATAAAGATCCCCTACAGGTAACTTTACGATCTTTCAAAACGTAAGGGGAACCCTTTCGTAAACAAAAATTAATAATATTTTGCCCTTTATTCAAAAAAAATACCTCTTTTTACCAAAAACAGACCTTTTTGGTAATATAAAAATATAATATTGTATATATATATGTTTATACAAATATATATGTATGTATATATATAATATTTATATAATTTTTGAAATAAAATATAATTTTTTAACGTCACAACAGCTCCAACTGCTGTTAAGGACTCTTTCACTTTTTTTAAAAAAAAGAAACTATTCGATTTATTCGAAAAAAGTTTCGAATTAATAATCCTTTTTCTTTTTCTTTTCTTTTTTCTTTTTTTTTTTTACCGAAAATCAGTCGCTGTGCGGCTCCATCAAGTCTTTCATTCTCTGAAAAGTGTGGTCACGCAACCACACTTACATATTAGGCAATTGTGGAGTTCATTTACTGGACAACCTCAAAAAGATTTGGATATGTCACAACCTGACATAATTAATCATAATCGTCCTATTTCTTCTTCCTCAAATCGTCATCCAACTATCAATGATGATGACAATGTTGTCGATCAAAGAATTTCAATTATGACGTCTCCTACTTCAGTAAAAAGATATGCAACTTATGATTTGAATTGGAATAATTTAAATTACGATCTTGATCAAAATAATCAAGATAATGATATTATTACAAATTCCGCACAGGCTGCGAGATGGTCTTTACCTAATTCCCCTAATTCTAATACAGTTACTACTCAAGAACAATCACCACCACCACCACCACAACAACAAAAACAACGTCATTCTAAAATAAGAAAATCTATATCTCCAATAATAATTAATACAAAAAAATCTGATTTACGTGACAAGAATGATGATGAACCTCAATCACCTTTTGGAGGTATTACGGTTACAACTGTTAAAGTGGTAGAAATCCTTCATAGTCCTACAGAAAAAGATGATGATTTTAATGGTATTAAATCTCAACAAAGAAAATCTCGTCCTGAACTTTTAAATCTTTCTTCTGAAGAACTTCCTGTTGGTATAATTACTAGTGAAAGTAGTAAAGATCGTAAACATAATAAACAGAGAATTAATTTATCTTTACCTCCATCAAATTCTGTTTCATCTTTATCTCTAAAGAATCCAAAATTATTAAATCAAAAAAAACGTTCTTCAATAATAAATTCTCAAAAAATAAAAGGAAATAAAAATTTAAAAAAATCAGAGATGATCATACCAAAAGAAATGTCTTTTATTGATCCAAGATTATTGGCGATTAATAATTCTCTTGTTAGAGCTCCAACAATAATAACAACAACAACAACAGCAACAACAACAAATCGTAATCGTAAAACAATAAGACGTGGTGGAAGTTTTTATAGAAAAAAATTACCTCCAAAAAATTTGGAATTTGGTTCTACTTCAAATCCAATATATTCTAATGATCCAACTGATATGGAAGCTGATTTACCTCCTATTAAACATAAAACATTTCCTTGGTTACCTGGTCCACCTAAACCACCTCAATTACTTCATGCTTCTCTAGTTCCTCTTCCTCGTGTGAATCGTGTAGCTATTAATAATCATGATTCTCATATTAAAAATACTTTGGATAATAATGAAAATCCGAAAAGAAAATCAAAATTTAATTCTAATCGTTTATCACGTGCTAATTCTCAAAGAAGACGTACTTCAATAATTGAACCTGATCCAAATCGTGCTTCTTTAATATTTAGACGTCAAATTATGGAAGAAAGTTTGATGATGTCATTTGGTGGAATGATGATGAATGGTGTTCAACAACAACCTACTTCAATATCAAAACCACCAATTAGACGAAAAACTAAAAAAGGTAGTAATGCTAAATTAGAAGATAGAGAAGTAAGACGTGAAAGACGTAGGAAAGAAAAATTAGTGAAAAAACTTAAAGAATCTCAAAATGTTTTATCAAATAATAATAATAATAATTTAAATAATAATCAAATAGAAGGAAAAGATATAATGAATGAAAATAATGTTAGAGAATTTCATATGGGACCTCAGCCACCACCAAGGAAACAATCACATGATAAACCTATAATCCCATCACCGCAAAAACCTAAAAATAATGCTTTACCTTTACTTTCTTCACCACCAGATCGAAGATTAGGAAATTCTAATGTTAACTCATCTTTAGAACATTCAACTGATGAACCTCTACCTTTTCCAGCTCATTTGGCTCGTTCAACTTTATTTGAAAATAATTCAAATAAGGAAAGATCAAAGCGTAAACAACAACCATATTCACCTTCAAAAGGTCAACCGATCCCTTCACCTATTTCATCTATATCAAATAATTCCCGTGTTATTACTTCCAATCCGGAAGGAAAAGAACTCACTGATGATGATGTTTCACAACATGAAGTTATTAATTCTGAAGAAACTAGTTCAATTAATCAATTACCTTCTCCAAATAAGTCTCAAAAGATTGGGAAAAATATTTTGGGTTTATTTAATAAACAAACAACAAAAGATTCTACGAGTCCATCAATTTCGCAAATTAGTTCACCTACACAATTATCACTACAATCACCACCAACCACGCCAATCACATTATCATCAACAACTCCACCGCAATCTCCACCATTAAGTCCGAAAACATTAAAGGTACCTCAACAGTTGTTAGGGAAATCTATCCAAAACCCAGAGAAAAAAAAGAAGATGGAACAATTTGAAGCTTTAATTGCTAATTCGGAAACATCAAGTAGCAAAAAACCCATCAGTGGAAAAATAAGGGCTATTACAACAGCGATAACCACAGTTGCATCAACCGCTACTTCATCAGCTTCTTCAAGTATAAGTATGAGGAAAAAATCTGCTGATGGAACCCCTTATAATAGTCCTAGACATTCAAGTGAAGGATCATTTAAAAGTGAGGGAAAAGAAAGTGAGAAAAAGAATGGTCTAAAAAGAGACTCTTCAAATAGAGGTTCATTAGCTGAATCTGTTCGTTATAGATCAGATGAAATGTCAGAATTAGGACCAGGTGATGATGGTGTGATAAGAGTGACATTAACTCCGGAAGTTTGTCGATGAAAAACCCAAAAGTAATTGTGTATTTAATATTTTTATTTATCATTATTTTATTACTTGTGTACATATGTTTTCATAATACTTTCTGTGTTATAATTATGTGTCTTTAGAAAGGACTTATATTTTAATAGCACGATACAAATAAATTACTTAATATATTATTATTATTTTCTTTTTTTTTTTTACCAAATTTTATATTTAGTCTCTTCCATGAGAATTCATGAAATTTTTTTACAAAAAAAAAAAAAAATTATAAATAGAGAAATATTTTATATATATATTAAAGTTTTTTTTACAGTTTATTTATGTAATTTTATCTTTTTTTTTTATATTAATTTTTTTTTAAAAAAAAAGAAAGAAAGAACTCATTTGAGCTATAAAATTGAACAATAAAAAAAACATATCTCATTACAACATTATTTAAAATATTTAACATATTCTTAAGCGAAAAATGTGATAATAATGTTATATAATTAGTGAAAATAGTGAAATCATCATCATCTTCTTCAACAATCAACTTAAAATAAATTGGTATTATCTTCTCGTTCTTATTCGAAAAATTGGCGGTTATTTAGTACCCGATGGATTTTCAGATATTATTTTGTGCATATGATATTCTAATAAAATATATTCTGATTTAATGTCGGGTGCCGGCGTAGCTTAGTGGTAGAGCGTCAGTCTTGTAAACTGAAGGTCGGTGGTTCAATCCCGCCCGTCGGCTACTTTTTTTATCTAAATTAAATTTTTTGTACGACGATAAAGAAAAAAAAATTATCTACATCATTTTTTTTTTTTTTGTGAAAAGCTTTTATGATTTGGGAAATAATTCGCTAAAGTGATTGGATTTAGAATTACTATACAATCAAAAGGGAAAAATGTATCAGATCGACAATTGCAAATCAATGATCGACAGTACATTACGTAAAATCAAACTGGGGAAACAAGAGAATTTTATAGCTTGCTTATTTTTCTTCACATGATACACAGATACTTTGATTTATAAGGACATTTTGTTTTAAGGAAAAGATTTTTTATTTGTAATTAAAAGTTACGAATTTTTGCGATTATGAACTCATTTCTTTTTTTTTTATTTGTTAATAGGTTAATCAACAAGATAGTTGGAAAGATTTATTACATGAAATTTCTAATACAATTATTAAAATTGAAATTAATCTTCAATTACTTGAGCAGATATAATTCTCACATTTTCTTTTGGTCTAAGGAGAAAAAAATGCATATATATTAATAGGCTAAAAAATATATATATATACAAAAATGAAATAATCTCAGCATTTTTATAAATTTACCTATCATCCCGATCAACACTAACTTTGCCTATACGTTTAACTATTTCCATACCATTGCTTACCCTTCCAAATATCGCATGTTTTCCTTTTCAAAAAAAAAAAAAAAAAATTTACAATAAATAATAATTAAGACATCCGGGAATGTCTAAAAAATGGTCAGAAAATGTCCTAAAACATCAGGAGAATGTACCGAAATGTGAAAGGTTCGGATAATGCAATGAAATAGCGAAAGATTCCGGACATTTCAGACAAATTCTGGGATTATATTAAAATCTTACCATCTAAATGAGGAGTAGGTGCTAACGTTATGAAAAACTTTTTTGGAATTTAAAAAGATTTATCATAAATAAAGATGTAAACGAATGACAAAGGAAATTAATTATAAACAGTAAATCTCGAGTTCTTACTTGACTTCCATTAGTATTTGGACCAGCATTAGCCATACTAATAACTCCAGCTCCTGTATGTTTTAAATCTGGATGAATTTCATCTTCAAACTTTGAACTAAAATACGATTAATGAAATTTTAATTAATTTTTTTTATTTTTTTTTTTATTTTTGACTTGATTAATTTACCCATAAATTGAATTTCCTCCACGTCCAGTTCCAGTTGGATCCCCTCCTTGAATCATAAAACCCTTTAAAAACAATAAATTAAATACAAAATATACAAAAAAAAAATACAAAACACAAAATTTTATTAATCAACTCTTTTTTTAATTGTTATTTGAAAAATAGAAGAAATTACACTTACTTCGATTATTCTATGGAACTTTATTTATTAAAAAAAAAAAAAATCACTTAAAATTCTTTTTTAAAAATTTACTTAAAGAAAAATCAAAGTATCAGTTACATATTTATTTACTTTATTTTATTGAATTTTTACTTACTATTGTATTATCATAATATCCACGTTTCGCCTAAGTATAAAAAAAAAATAATGAGTAAAATAATCAAAAAAAAACCCTTTTTTTTAAAAAAAAAAAACTTACTAATTCATAAAAATTATCACAAGTTTTCTTTGCGTGATCATCATACAATTCTATTGTAATCATACCCTAATCAAAGGGAAAAAAGAAAGAAAATTTATTTATTTTTATTTTTTTTTTTATTTCCAAGTCATAATTTCTTAAGAACACACCATAGAAGTATTGAGAATTACTGATCGAGACATCACGTCAATTGAGGAGAGAGATTGAAATAACTGTGATGATGATCATTAATTACATTAAATTTATAACCTAATTTTATAATTTTGCACTACCTGTCGATTATTGGCCACAACTTTTGATTTTTTTTTTTCATTTTTTTTTTTTCATTTCATTATTTCTTGCTTAATTTTTTCATTTATTATTTACTATTGGATAAAGATTTTTTCACGAATTTAAATTTCTTATAAATAAAACTTTATAATTATATTTTCGTTTTTTTTTAAAATTTTTAATAATAAATAATTGATGAGTAGATTACTTTATTTCTGTCAATATTCGACAGTATCATGCTCTCTTGTGATACTTCATACTGGAAAATAATAAGATATATTTTAATTATTAAATATGAAGAATAAACCTACATTCTGTTATCCCATGTTGATTTGGTTAAAGAATTATTCTTGTAAGCATCTCTAATAGGCTTGGAGTAGTTTATCAATTGCTGGCTGATTGTCGAGGATTTTTAGAATTTGATATTTGTTCTGAAATGGGCACGGTGTATTACTTGGAATTAGTGGTCATTTATTGAATGTGATCAGTGAATGGCATTGTAAGAGAAGCAATTTCATGTGCAATCATACGTCATACCAAAACTTTTATTTTTACGGTCTTTAATTACAAGAATAATGCCTGAGTAAGATCACAATAAAGAATTTATTTTAAGGATTAGAGCAATACGTTGTAGAATTAAGATCAACTTGGAACTCGCCAAAGAAGCTCAAATGGAAATGAATATGAATCTGATTATTTAAAGAAGATATAAGTCATAATCTGCTCCAATTTCATGTATACAAGTAAAAATTCTATATATATTATGATTTTTAAGGCTCTAATAAAAAAAATAATGATTTGATTTCATTGGTACAATAAAAAGATTTTAGGTTCTTACCAGTTCTACGTATTCTAGAATAAGAACTGAAATATAAAGCACAAAATCTCTTCCTATATTGAAAATAATGTTAAAAATTGTAAACATTGAAATCAAAAGACTAAACATCATAATAATAATCACATTGACAATTTGAAGCATTTTTGGCCATGCCATTATAATTAATAGTCAAACAATAATATTCAATATAAGATCATTTTTTTACTGGCAGAAATGAAGCAATTCATTTTCATTATAGCACTAATCACAGTTTTTACAAAAACATAATCTTTAACAAATATATAGATGATCTATAATATCCATTTTAGAAATAAATAAATGAACTTTTAAGGATGGATTTTTTTTTATTTAGTTTTTAAAAATTATATAAAAATATCATATAAATATGTAATACTAAAATTAAATAACTTACCAACTAAAATAAATTACCAAATAAATTTTAAATAAAAAAATTTAATAAATATGTAATTCTAGAATTATTTAAAGTTAAGGGTTATCTTTTCTACTAGTTATGGTGATAAAACAAGATATAATTTGACTTTACTAATAGAAAAAAAGCAAATTTAACCAAATTTAAAAATTCAAAAATCAGTTTTTTGTAATTATCTTATTATCTAATAGTCCAATAACTTCAATTTAGCCAATTATTTTTTAAATTGTAACTATTAATAAGCTTTATAAAACAAAAAAATTTTATTTAAATCTGATCACTAAGTTCTAAGATAATTTCAAAAAACTAAAAAAGCAAAAAATAATAATTTTTAATGCAAATTAATTATAAGTTATACATTAAGTAGATATTTAAGGTTTTAATTAAACATAAGGCTTAAAATCTCTGAGAGGATTTTTAAAAGTTTTAGATTTTAAAATACATAAATAAAATTTCACCTAAAACTTTAAATAAATTCTGAAATCTCAGTTATTCTAATTTTAATTTCCAAAACTTACTATTAATATTTAATAATCATCTTATTTTTTTAGTCTTTTACTTTTTTTTAATAATAAAACATCAAATAGTTTACCATAAAATTTAAAAAAACAAAAATAAAGTTTGCACTTTATTTATAAGTAACCAATTTAGAGATTTTTTAAGCAAGAAAACAAATTAAACAAAAAGTACTATATTATAAGTAACTTTAATTTATAATAATGTAATTTTATTATTTTAGTTATATTTAATATATAAAAGTTTTAAAAGTTTTAGATTAAATTCAGAATTCAGAAAATAAATATATATTTTAAAAACAAAAAAAAAACAAAAAATTTAAAAATTTAATAATAATATAATATTATAAAAAATGCATTTTTATATTTTTTTTTATAAATTTTATTTCTGATTTATATAATTAAATTGTATAAATTTAATAATATATTTAAAAAAAATTTTATTTATATATATATAAAATTATAAAATAAGATATATTAGTAAATTACATTTACCTTTAATAAATATTAAATTAATTAATTTTTTTTATATAAATTTATCAAATAATTTTTTATAATAATTTTAAATATAGTTTTCAAAAAAGTAAATTTTTATGCTAATTATTTAATATTAAACAAAATTAATTAATAAAAAAATAAAAAAAAACAAATTTATTAAATTAATATTTTAAATTCAACTTTAATACTTTATAAAGTAAATTTGCAAAATAAACAAAAATACAATTTTATAAAGAAAATTATATAAAAAAATTTTTAATAAATATACTAATTTTATAAGTTATAATTAAATGATTTAAATTCCAATAGTAATTATACATATCCTTTTAAAATTATTTATTTTTATAAAACTAATTTAAAATACAATAAAAATATTTTATTACTATAGTCATTTTATATCAAATATATATATTACTTTTTATTATTTTTACAATTACTTTTTCCAATTTCTTAATAGATTTTTATATAATTTATATTATATAAATTATAATATAATATATATAGTAATAAAAAATACTTATTTTTAAAAAAAATCTTATATTCTAAGTAATTTTACTTATATTAAATTTATTAAATTAGACAACAATTTTACTTATAATAAATCATATATATAAAAATTAAAAAATTAATTTCCATTATATTTGGCTCAACATTTTTAATTTTTGAAATTCGACAATATCTATGGAATTATAAGTTTTGTTAAAAAATTTTGTATAAAAATTTTTAAAAATTTTTATCAGTTTTGTAGGCAATATATTTGCAATTTTTTAAAATAAAATTATATTTAAATATGATATGGATAAACTTATTCGTAACATCCTATTACACATCTTATCTGTAACTACCTCGAAAAGTTAGGTCGGATAAAATAATTTATATGTATTTTTATTTCGGTTTTTTTGTTTTTTTTTGATAAATTTATTATAAATTTTATTATTGTAAAAAATCATATAACTGAACGCGGGTGGCTTAGAATTATACGGTAATGATCATCCGCGCAAAAATAAAATAAGCAGTACAAGTATTAACGCACAATTGTTTAAACTTCGTCCTTTATCTAAAGAAACTTAACTCTTCTATAAACGTCAACGATTTCTGCAAACATGATATATACAGTATCATTATATAAGTGTCAAAAACGAATCAAGATAAAGAAATACAATGAAAAGATAATATTACCGATTCTGACACCTCGCACTATTATGTCCTGCTTGACCGCACGTTTTGCAGGTATATTTTGCGCAAGACTTTTTTTCGGTTGATGATTTAAACCTCTTTGTTCCTGGGCGTCCTTTACGCCGCGAAACTAATGGATTTTCAACTTGTTGAAGTTCATTTTCTTTATTATCATCAACTTGGACTTCAGAACGTTCCATAAGTTCTTGGTTTCGCGTGATTATTATTTCCTTGTGTCGAATAATAAACTGTTTTAACCAACCAACCATTTCATTATGACTGTCAAGTTCAACAGAAAGTTGAGCTGCCTGTCGCGCAAGTCCCCATACTTCTCCATATTTGACCTTTTTCTTTGCTGCACAACGTAAAGCATTAGTAACGGTTGTAGGAACAGTAGAAGGATTTGGAGTGAATACTACACCCGAAAAATTTTGAGCAGCTTCTGTGTTTACAAAACAACAAGTTTCTGCTGCTGCGTCCTTATCTTTCTGATTATCGATATACCACCTCGAAGGTATCATTTGGATTTGAAATCCTGCAACTTGTGAAGTCATCATTATTCGAAAGTAGTGGCGATATATAATGCTGCGGGATATATTAGACATGCATGAACAAAGGTAAGAAATGGAATCGATTATCACCACGAAATATATATGCTTTTTGTTTTCAGGTCGCATATCGGTAATCTTCCATACTTCTTGAATGTTTTCTTCACCAACTTCAGCAATCATTGACTTCAACAGAATTTGCTTAGCATCATATGAATCTTCAACACATCCTTCCATTACACCATCTTCTGGATCCTATATAGCAATAGTATTAGATTTCGTTAACATTTCAACATATAAAAAAGACACTAAATACCTCAACGATATTTGGTTTCACTTGACTTGGTACAAAGTAAAGGCATTGTGCCATTTCCATACGCTCAGCAGACAATATTTGTGGGGTTAGGTATTCAGTCATTATTTTATCAACTTCGGGAAAAAGGTCTTGACTAACCCTATAAAAAATATTTTTGCTAAAATATACTTAAAATAAACTTAAAATTTTATTTTATATTTAAATTATATTTAAAATTTTATTTTATACTTAAAATATACTGAAATAGGCAAAAATTAAATATCATTTAAGTATAATTTAAGTATATAATAATATACTTAAAATATTCTTATTTTAAATATCCTTAAAATATACTGAAATAGGCAAAATTTAAATGTAAATTAAATATATTTTAAGTATATATTAAATACAATTTAGTTCAAGTTTTGCGAAAATTTAATTTTCAGTATATTTTAAGTATAAAATAATAAAATTAAGTATATTTTAAAGAAAATTAAATATATTTTAAATATATTTTAAGTAAAATTTTTTTTTATAGGGTAACCGTTGTAATCCCCACACAAGTTGATAAAGTGCGGTACTCAAAAAACCGATTCCATTGAGCTTCATGTTCAAACCGTGCATCAAGAGCATCTGTGAGACCGCATAATGTACTGTTTGCTGACAACTCGCGCTTGATTATATTATTGTGACTTTCGACGCGGGAAGTAGTTTGAATTCCTGCAGTAAAAATTTTTGACGTAAATGCACGAGCCCACGCTTGACGGCTAGGATAAAGAGCTCTCATCAGGTAATCCTTTATACTAGGATATTTTTCTATAAGCTTAGACCACCTTTCATAAAAAAGTTCTTCACACAAACTGTTACGACATGAAAAAAACTCTGAACGAAACTTTCATATTGATCGCCGAGTTTTGATTTAACATTCTTTGGTAGATTTTCGCTGATATGGAAAATGCAATGAATCAGGTGAGTTGTCTTGTATATTTGTGTGATCGCTGCGTCCATGGCAGGATCGGCATCTGTGATGAACACTAAAGGTTCTGTCATTGTTGCTTTTTTTGTGCACTCCAAAATCCATTTATAAGATTCTACCGATTCGTCAGATACGAGGGTTTGAGCTACAAGTCGTGATTTAGTATTGTTATCAATGACAAGAAAAAGTGATAATGGCATTTGATAACGGTTGGTCTTAGCGGTGTTATCGTTTAAAATAACATCATGATACTCTAACCAAAGAGTAATTTGGGATAGAGACATCCAAAAAAGCCGAGTAAGTCTCTTATCTTGATCAAGCTGAAAATCAACGAACCATCCGGGATCGTTTGACTTATGCTCAATTAGTATTTTTAGTAAGCGAGATGCATCATAGATTACATCTGGCCTAACCTTATATTTTTGTATTGCATTAGAGAGATCACAGTCGAGAATAGATATAGTCGGAAATTTTGCTTTCAACAACTTTCGTTGAGTGGTAATCGGTAAATTTCCATATTCAGTGAGAAATTGGACTTCTTTAAGGACATCATCAGGAATGCAACGGTATTTTGATGAATAATTTTCAGTATCAGCAGGAAATAACGCATGGTTGTGCAAATTATTGAAAGTGGTAAGAGATACGCCTTAAGAGTTTTGAGGGCAATTGAAATTTGCATTCCATGGACATTGCTGGCGTTTTGATTTATGATCTCGATGACTATTAATATCAACTTGTTTTTGTGGATGATAACAGCCGCCGAATTTACTTCCAAAGCTACGATGTTTAATACTCTCATCTTCACGCCAACCTAATCGTTTCTTTATAATCGTAAATCCATGTCTTTTGCTATAGGCTTCCATGATTCCGTCCACATCTCCCCACGACCTAAAGGTATCGCCTATGGAAAGATTTGTTGTAGTTGAATTAAGGTTGCTTGCCGAAACCTAGGGGTTTAGGCAAGATGGCGTTTCGCCGAAAAGCGAAATTCTGCCGAAACTATATTAAAGTTATATTAAAAAACTGGCGCAACTTTGGAGAAAGGCGAAACTGCCGAAACTTATTATAAATGCCGAAACTGCCGAAACTCTGCCGAAACTATAATAAA